ATTTGGTTTACGTAAGGACTAAGTTGGGAAGGGGAACGAAGAGGAAATATCCTGGTAGCTCATCGAGGGAAAGAGAAGGCGGCCAAGCCTGGGGAAGAGTGTCTTGCGGAAATTCGATGCTAATGAAGGAAATTGCGTAGATGCCAAACCAGTATTTCCCCTATCCCTCGTCCTTCTCGACGCTAGGGCCCTCCTACCAAGCGGCAGTAACGAATTTCTCTCCTGCTTTGCGTCTACGAGCCGTATCTAGAGGCTCGCTAATTTTCTATTTACTGACTCGCTATGTACTAACGGTTACTTCCTTATATAACTGTCTGCTTGTTCATATATTTTCTTGCGTGGTCGTGACGTCTATATGACAACGTTATATTCGAGTAGCCGTTTCAAAGGAGGAGAAGGAACGCTGTTTGGAAAAGCTGTATATTTTTTAGTTACTTGCGAAGAATTTGTTCGCTTCGTTTTTCAAAGATCCAGATGTTTCGTTTGTTTTTTTTTTTTTGTTTTCAGCAACAAAGACTCGAAGAAAACTCGATAAGTTTGTCGATTTCTACGCGAATAAATGACGATGTTGCTGTCTCGTATGCAGAGCGCGAAGCACGTTTCCGTCCACGCGCTCCTCGTCCCTTGACTTCCGCCTACGCAATCAAATTTCATTTAGCTTGATTCCCAGCGAGCCGAAATGCAATTTCAACGCAAACACCGGCAACGTAAACTTTCAACGTTGACTGCAGTTTGCGTCAACCAGAGCTGGTTTCAGCATCTTCGACGTCTTATCACGTTAATCCTTCCTCGTTCATTCTTTAACAAGGGTAGATAAGAAAATGATTGCAGTGAAATATGAATTAAACATCGCTCATCAATTTAATCCACGATTTATAATACAATTCGTAATTTTATCCTGACATTCGACCAATATATTGGCGCCCTCATTTTACGGGGTATGCGATGGTATCGCCATCTCGCGGCGAGAGGGTCGAACTAAAATTCCGACCTCCGATCAGCGCACCACCGGGAAAACGCCCAAGCTCGTCCTCGAATAATTTTGTTTGTCACCGTTAGATGGCGCCATTTACTTTGTGTTTACCGGCACCTGTCGGTACATTACCATAACGTCGGTAAACCATAGTGAAAATGGCGCCATCTACCTTTAAAAATAGTAACTATTCAAGGACAAACTTGGACATTTTCCCCATAGAGGCGCTGAGCAATCCAGATAATTACCGAGGTCCTAAATGGAAATAAACAGCTTACAGATATAACAAGAAACTCGTTGTTTGAAACACCGATTTCGTAAAAAAATCGTTGGTTTTGCCACTACTCGTCAGTTGTTAAAGCGTCTTTAGAATAGATGGTATATCTAGTCCGACCAAGTCCGTCCGGCGCCAACTGAAATTACGAATCTATATATCATATCGACCAGGGGTGACGGTTTCCCATGACGTCATCCGTCGGGACAACATTCCCCGTTCCAAGGATGGCAGTTGGACCAGAACAAAGTGTCGTTCATTGTTTGACGTCCTGTTCAAACAGTTTTGAAAATGATTTTTAGAAAAGTGTTACGATACGACAACTAAATGATATATCGTGATTGTTCGTGTATGCGAAAGAACATTGATCAAGGGATAGAAAGCATCTCGTGGATACGCAACAAGCGTCAATGCACGAGACACACATCGATTTCACCGGGAAAACATGAGTGACGGAAACAGCGGACGAATCGACGAGAGTCTCACGAGTGGTACTGGTAGTTCTCTTCGAATCCAATGCGAATATTTTGTTGGAACCGGTGAGTGATCTAAAAAACCGTCGTTTACAGTTAAACAAATTTTATTCGAACATCAACGTAATTTGATCTCTCTTGATCTCATGAGACCGCTCAAAAATGAACTCTCTTTTAATAATTATATTTTAAACAATTTTTTTTATCATTTAAATGTAAGTAATTAAAATATTAATTTCTATTTTACTATTTAGCATTTCGAATATTCTTACAGTGCTATTCGTAGCTATACAAACAGTCAATGATATTCTTGTATATATGTATGACAAAGTTCATGTAACACCTGAAGCTCATCACCTGTTAACCATTCTGTAACATAATTTCCTATGCAACGTGTAATATAATTTTATTAGATTCGAAATAAACAAATGCAATTTTAATTTACATATACGGTGCTTTGTATAATAAATCCTTGCTGAATTAGTAGCTTTAAAACAGTTATTTACTAGGCCATGTCCTTTTTCGCTATTTGTCTAAAATAGGCATGTACTACTCGATAGAAGTATTCATTGTTTCCCTAGTAGACTAACAAATTTTGATATTTTGTATGCAAAATGTAAAACAATTTAAAATATTCTGAAATTATAATACAAAATGTATACAAATTTTCAACATTTTCCAACCATTTCCTATTATTCTTGCTAGTTATGTATCCCTTAATTCTATTATTGTCTATAGTTAGAATATATGTGCTCTTCCATATAAATGATATATTATCGTTATAAAGATGTACGTCGGAAAGCAAAGGACATGGCACACCAGTAGATACAAAATGTTGGACTAGTGGAAGTTGAAGAGTAGAAAGTAAAAAACAGAGAGCAATAGCGCAGAAGATAGAAAAAGAATTGATCGGTACGTAGTGACAGCATCGTACAAGAGCAAATAAGGAGAATGAGTCACGCTCAGCAGCATGTACTTGCAAGCGCAATAGTTCTCGCTCTGATAGTGGTCTTTGGCATCCATGTCTTCCTGTTTCCTATGTACACATCCAACCCACCAGCTCGTCACATTAAAATATCGACGTACGAGCAAGCTCTTTGTCGTACCACCTTAAAGAATGTCAGAATACCACCAGAGTGGAGAAATCCTTGTCCCAAATATGGAATAGTTTCGGCAGTACAAGGTGGCAGACTTGGAAATCAAATATGGGAATATGTCTCTGTGTGGGCAACTGCTAGAAGAACTGGTTTAGAACCATTCATGCCACGTTGCATACTGAAAACCCTCGAGGAATACTTCGAAAATCTCAGTATTCCGCCGCTCAGTTACATCGGACGATGCAGTCTAGATGTTAGTCAGATTGTCAATTCTCTTGGACAATGGAACAGTACAGAACAAAACATCATCATACCAAGGTAGCGACTTTATAGTTGACGATAACTATTTATCGTGTTAGTCGTTCAACGTTTTTATTGTCAGATACGCAGCTTACTGGTCTCTCATCTTGGTGTGGTTGGACGATATACGAAGAGAATTTACGTTTAAGCCAAATTTAAGAACTTACGCGGAAAGGGTACTGAAAGAAGTAGCGGAAGAATTTAACTTGCTCGAACCAACGTTTGTAAGCATTCATGTACGAAGAACAGATTACATAGATTATCTATGGCAGAAATTGAAAATTAGACCTGCCCCTGTCAGCTACTACTTTGCGGCAATGGATTACTTTATTGGCAAGTATAATAATGTAGTATTTGTAGTAACTAGCGATAATATAGTGTGGTGCAAGTATAATTTGCATAGTAAACGACATAGAATCAAATTTGTGTCCGATATCGACGCAAAAGGTCCTGGCAAAGACCTTGCAGTTTTATCAGCATGTAATCACAGTATTATAGATTATGGTACATACGGTTCATTTGGCGCAATTTTAGCCGCTGGTGAGACTGTAGTGTACAATGTAACGACATACTTTTCTACCTTAATTGCCGAAGTTTTGCCAAACTGGAAGATAATGAGTTGAATTAAAATCAAAAGAGCACTTTTTATGGATCTCAAATTAAAAATAACGCGTGTACAAACACTTTATTAAAAAATACTTTTTATACGGATTCAAACGATAATTTCGTTCGATTTTAGAACGTGAAGGTAACATTCTATGATGTTTATTTCAAAATTAGAAATGCTCAATGATGAAATTTTTTCACATAACATTATTTTATATTGGGCACGAATATCCGTTTATTGTTTATCATTTTTACAAAAAAATAATATTTTTTTTTAGATATAATATTCACCGTTTTTAATTGATAAATAATGAATTACATCATTCCGATATATTGTTTCAACAATTTAAAAAAAAAAATAAATGAAAGTGTATTATTATATTTCACTAAATTTTTATCAAAATGATACAAGTACAATGCTGATAAATTGCTTAAGAACAAACAATCTGCATAATTTTTCACTTGATTATGGCACTATTAGATAAATCTTAGAAATCAGTGCACCTTGAATAGTAGTAAGAAAATTTACATATTTTAAAGAATTTGTAAAGATCTAACATAGAAGAGGGATACAACGGAACAATGGACCACAAATGTCTAAAATTAAAACAGATGCTTATTTTTTTTACTACTGTGATTCAAACACACACGGCCCTGAAAAATTGAATAGATCCAATATTCTTTTGACATAACGAACCAACCAGCTGAGAATAATTTAAAAATCTACAAAGGAAAATATTACTATCCTTCACAGTGGTCAGATTTAAGCAGTGATTTTTGGATGTTCATATTATTGTTTTCAAAATTATAAGTACTTGACTAGTTTAGACATTTTTCGTGATATAATGTAACAATCTGAAAAAGAGCATAGTTAAATGTACTTGCATTATGCATCTAATACGTCTTTCACGCAAAGACAAATTTGCAGATGTAGAAAGAAAAAGTATTAATGATCTATGACTCTTATGATGTACAATGATTTCAACTGTGATTCTATTTCTTATTGTGCCAAAATTCTTAATATACATTCACATACAAAAAATATATATATAAATATGTGTGTGTGTGTGTGTGTGCAGAAAATATATACATTTACTAGTGTACATATGTACACATCCACACACATATACAATGAAGTTATATCTATACAAGGTATTATATAATGTTTACAAGTATGCAAAAAAGGATGGATTATTTCTTCACTTAACAATTAAATATTTCTGAAACTGAAAAAATCAATAGATCGAAGGAAAACGTATTTTACAATAAGCCCAGTGTATAAGTGTTTCAAGTTTATTAACCACGTGACCTGATATATTCGATTTATAATATTTTATAAATTAGTTTAGTCGATGTGTTTATGTCTATATGTTAACATCTATATATATATATAAAGCATCTTCATTGTATTTGATGCCTGTTAGTTGTTAATTATAAGAAAAAGTACGATCAAAGAGGCGATATGAAACTGTATCACAATTCAGAATTTATGAAAGTGTTGAGATATAAATTGAATAGGGATAATTATAAATGTATACAACTTTCAGGCACTGATATGACCTACTCTGTACATTCTCTGTGATAATTTTATGTAATTTGTATAAAAATAATACAGATGTGCTGAAATTTATCTGTTTTACAAAATAAATATAGTCTAAAATCATCTATACTACTCTTACTTATTTATTAAAATAATATATACTAGCGATTTGTAGTAACAAGACCAGCTGGTCCCAGTCCTAACTTTGAACTTACTGCCTTTACACGTAGCGGCTGAAAACCAAGTTCACTAATCGGAATCCCGTATTCCTGTAACTTAGCTTCGTATGTTCTAAGTAAATCCTCGTGCGCTTTACAAACTTTCGCCAATTCATATTGGAGATCTTGTATAGCACTATTCTTTCTATTCAGTATATTCTGTATAAGAAAATGTGAGTTACACGAATGTAGAAACAGAAAGGATTCAAATTATTGAAAAGTTGCAAACCTCCAATTTTTTATTAGCATTGACAACAGCCATTGGATCCAACTGAGCAGCAGCAAGTACCTCACTGATTTGTGCTTCACGTTGTTCTAATAAATCTGATAATTTTTCGAGTTTCTTTTCCAAGAGGACATTCTTCAATCCTGTCTTTTGTTGAAGTTCGAGTATAGCTGAGACAAATCTTGAGTGTAATTCATCTCTTTCAGATTGACACTAACGAATAAGACGTAGTTCGAGTAAAATAAAAAATGGACTTTTTTTAAACAAAAAAAGCATATACTTATTGTTGGTATACTTTTTCAAAACGTAATTCCAATACTTCGTTTTCCCATTTCAAATTTTCGAAATCTTTCTGAACAATATTTAATCTTTTTTTTGTATTCTGAAATGATAAAAAATGAAGCTTTCAAAATATCATACAATCGCCTTAGACAAGTAAAAATACTAACGGTTAAAGATAGTTTATCTTTTTCATAACTTGCAAGTTGACGACTAAGATACGCTACAGACTCTTCGTGAGACTTCAAATCCACAGAATATTTTTTATTCTCAATCGTCAATTCCCGTACTTGTTTTTTCATCCGCTCCTCGTTACCTCTCATTATTTCCATTTGTTCCTACGACATCATATTACAATAGCATTGTAATACTAATAAATTTTGTATTTTATATGGATTGTACCTTCATACTCTTAATCAAGGATAGATTGTTCAAAGTAATATCGTTATAGTAATTTTTCATTTCCGAGAATGCTGTCTCGTGATTTTTTATTAAATTAGCAATTTGTGTATTTTTTCTCTCTTCCACTTCAGTAATTTCCATACGATGTTTTAGCATAAGAGATTCGTACTGGGTTGTTAACTTTTGTTCATATTTTTGTTCCATTTCCGCAGCTTCAGTTTCAAACTGTTTTGTCATTTTATCTATTTCCTCGGCATTTTGCTAGATAATAAAGTTTAATTTGCAAAAATTTGTATAACATTAAAAAATTTTTTACATTTCTTTCATACCAATTTTAATGCACGTATTTCATTAATATGGGCTAGCTCTTGTTCCTTCTGTATATTTTTTAGATCCTTTTTATCTTTATACAATTCGTTCGCTTGAACCATATGATCATCTTGTGCCAGTTTAAGTGCAACTATGTGATCAGCTTTAGTTTCTGATAGATTAGTCTGATGTTCATACATTAAGTGTTTAACTTTCTGCTTGTATAATTTGAGTTCTGCTTCATGTTTTTCTGCTAGTTCCTCTTTTTCACGTTCTTTATTTCTTCATGAATAACAGATAATAAATTAGTTGAACGCACGATTAAATATTCTGATTAAAATACACATTGCAATAACACCTGACAATTGTACGTGCTTCGTCTAGTTGATGTTTTGTGATTTCCCAAAAAGTTCTGAGCTTGTCTCTTTCAAGTTGGAAAAAATTTCTCTCTTCTCTTTCACGTTCCAATTCTTCAAGTATCTTGTGCGAATAAATTTCTAACTGTTCTCTACTCATTTTGGTTGTATCAACTCCATCTACTGTATCAGTTGCCTTTATTTTTTTCGGTGCCTACAAAATTTTGATAAAAGAAAAATTAATACAATTTATATCAATAATATAATTAGGATTTCGTTCATTAGTAATTACATTTGTGATCGAAACTTTAAAACTTACCATTTTTACAAACAAGTAGGATAAAAGAAAGTGATATTAGTCACAACTTCAAGAGATACAAATAACTATTTAACGAATTAAGTTCTAAAAACAGTGATTAGAGTAATTGTAATTATAAAATATTTAATTTTTCTGACAGATATGATAAAGAGTAGCACATCACTACTTGACTCCAAAGTACTGTTACACTCACTTACACTATTTTGATAGAACAGTTGCTAAGTGACCAAAACTCATGATTTACGGAAGGGGAGGAGGGGATATATAGAACACACAATATAATATACGTATTAATGTATTTTTTAGAATTGTATCATTTTATTACAAGTTACGCGTACCAAAAATGTAATAAAAGCCTAATAAATATATGAAAATCTAATAATATAATTTAAACCGCATTTTCAATTTTGTAATAATAGTTTAAGCCGTATAACATCTCATGCCAAATATGGAATCATTTATTAATATAAGAAAATTACATTTGTTCCTACCCCATAAAAATAAATATATAAACAAATTTCTTATCCTTTTATCTTTAAATTCATACACATGTTAACTATAACGTCAAACATATAGTAAAATACGTATAGCAAAAACATCTTTTATAGTGCTACAAAACAAATATCCTCGTGATATTTTACGTTCTATTGTTCGTCACCTTGTAAAATTAATCTATAAAAAAAATGTCTAACAATGATCATCTGATTTCTTACGTGTTCTTGTGGCACGCTATACATTTGTTAAAATTCAATAATAATAACTATCTGATACAGTACTCCTCACATTTTTCAAACAGCTAAAAAAATGCATGTAAATAACACTTAAATGTGGCCACCGACCGTTACATGTAATTTGTATAATTTTTAATAATTATTGTAACATAACATTAATCAATTGTTATATTTCATAACTTCTACTAATTAAAGTAAAAAAAAATATTCATAGCAAAATGAATAATAATAATTTAATACGTACTTAATATTTATTACTGACTTTTGTGTTAATAGCAGTTCCGAACGATTAAAACGATTCTGAATATATATCTATTAAAATGTTTAAAAAGCATAATATGAGGTAGACCCTTGTTACCCGTGTGAAGAATATTCGGGTAAGTTGTATGCGTTTGGGTTTTGGTCCGTTGTAGTTTCTTTCGTTAAACTCGCACAAGGTTTGTGCCCACATTAGGTCTTTATGCAATAATCATGTAACGTATTTCGAAATAATAACTTATTATAGTGTGCTTATTCAAAATTGTAATAAATACGGTTACATTTAAAGACATAACCTTACCACAGGTTGGTGCCATAGATCAATTTCACGCAACATTATAACTTCATACATAACATATACACATGATAATTCCTGAGAAATTAAATATTGCATAACAAAAATAAATAATTATGTTAAATAATTGCATAACCATCCTTATGAAAAAGATTCATTTGAGTTGCAGTATCAAATGGAATGCTAAATATTATGCAATTTTCTATGATTTTAGCATGTTTCGCCATTGAATTGTAGCAAACATCCTACTGCACCAAAGTAACCCTGTAATTGAAAGAAAAATGAAGACTAAGATCATTTTATGTTTTCAGAATCAGTTAAAGGTGTATTTCAAATGTACTTCACCTCATGTTCTAAGAACAAAGCTTTCATTGTTCCTTTAGACCAATAATCCATAGCATAGGCCAAAAGTTTCATTGATATAGGATTCACTCTAAGGAAGTTTCCTACAAACACTACCTAAAAGTACCAGCACACATCATCATCGTTTTTATTGTTGTTGTTGTTGTTGTTGTTGTTAAATACTGTGTGTGTAAAATTACTCATGAGTAATATTTCCTTTACCCTTTCAATTTTTTCATTGACGGCACACATACGTGCAATAGAACCAATATTATTTGTAATAGTGACAAGTGTTGCACGTGCAAGGTCTTCTTTACGAACTGTATTTCGACGATCTTTGGAATTCATTTGTCCAAAACTGCATACATATTGAAAACATGCAAGTAAATCACTTAAATAAAAAGTAAATCATAAAAATGAAACATAAAGTCCAGTATGTTTGTTTCTATAATTATTAAGTTTTATCAGACCTGCTTGCAACAAGATCTCCAGGAAGACCAAAAGGTCCATAACCGCCACCATAAATGTCCTTAACCAATTTGTCAACTCTAGTATTATCACCTCCTGTTGCTAATTCTATTGCTTCTTCGAATGTATTGCATCCAGTTAGTAAGCAACATAATCCTAAAAATGTACCACCACCTAGGCTAAATTTAAAATAAATTCATCAATATTAAGCTTCTTTATACGATTTATGTATTATTGTTATTGCAAAAATAACATACCTGGTTCCAGATATTCTTTTATAGTTGTCTGGCCCATAAACAGCTAGTATGCTTACTCCTGATCCTATATTTACAAGCTGTAAAAAATAGTTGTAAAATGAAATGTTCATTCTTTGGCATATGACTGAATATATGAAGATTGTACATACCAAAAAAGGATAAGGTTCAGAAAAGTCATAAGGAACCTTCTGACATTTACTATCATCCGTAGGATGAGACCAATAATAACATTCATGTGGATTAGTTGTCTCTATATAAAGTATACCACGTATTAAACTATCTAATTCATCAAATTTTGCTAAATTCATGTTTACTTCCTGTTAAAAGAATATTTATGTCGAATTTAATAACAATAAGATGAATATATTTATATTTGTACTCACTTGTTTAAAATTTTTTTCAAATTTATATGCTCCACCACCGGTAGCACAAACTGTTGTTACAAGATTAGCCATTCCCTTAGACCTGGCTAAGGCTAAAAAATTTCCCATTTCACTTGTGGGAAATCTAATAAAATGTAATGTACCACGTCTACCTCTGATACAGACATTATCCATCTTCAATATAAATAATATTATATGCATGGTGTAGCTTTCTTTGTAAATATTTAAAAGGTTAAATCAATAGAAAAACATACCTGTAAATGCGTATCTCTGTGACCTGTTTTCCCGTAAGCTGAATTTTTAACTAAATATCGCCGAATATTTTTTAATATTTCTATCTCTGCATCTGCTTCATCTCTTGTAATGTCTTTCGGTTCAAAATATACTAATTTGGATAATGTACCTCCTATATCCATACCAAACCATGGCATTGCTAAATGAAAAAGTAGAAAACATAATATGATTACATCAATTAGTAATAATACAGTAAAATAATATTTAAATGTTTGAATCACTTAGGGGACTTGTCAAATAAAATGCATTCGTTGCAGGTGTTTAATGTAAATAACTTAGCATACATGAAAAACACAACTTTCTGGCGAACAATAACAAGCAGCAAAATTAATTGGAAACAAATACGCATTTGCACTACATACACTTACAATATAAATAAGTGTAAAGAAATATGAAAAAGAAAGTAAAATAAGTGTTTCCTTTTTAAATGATTTTAACAAAGCTATAATTAAAGCAATAATCACGTTTAGGAAATGATTATCATAAAGAAATAAAAGTGGCTACTCTAAGCACACACAATTTAATGGCTCACAAGGTGATGAATGATTTTTGGATTCCTTGGCTGATTCTTCAGCACCATTGTAACCATTGGATGCCATAACTTTTGTAATAATATGATTTTTATAACTCTGAGGACTCATTGTTAAACTTTGAGTTATTTATAATTCTCTCCAATGCAATGTAAAATTCTTTGTCTAAAAATTAAAGAAAATAACAATTATATTCACGCCATGATTAAATACTCATTGATATATCAATGTTTTAAATTACTAATTATTAGACTACTGATATAAAAAATATATACGTAAAATAAAATGGCAATATCACATTTGCATATGAAATGTATTCTGTATGTAATTTGCATAAATTCTCGATACTAACATACACAATAAATACATAAGATCAATGCTATGCTAATGTATTGTACATTTAATTTAAATTACGAAAGATAAATAAATAACTTCCATAAAGTATTGCATTGTATCTGGAAGTTCAAGATACAATCTATTTTGTATAGTATTCCTTTTCTAAACATGTAATGGTATACAGAATAGTAGCAGATAGCAAAGGTTACTTTTTAATTAGACATCAGGACTATATTATATGTTATTCAGGTCATTATAAAAAGTATAGTGATACTTTACAGAAAGCTGAGTAAACATTTAGTACATTTGTATTGTAAGTAAATGATAAAGGAAGTATATGAATTAGTTCATTATAATTAAATAAACAGTTATTTATATATAAGTTTTTCTCTGATTGTTAGATTAGTATAATAATTTATGCGACATTTTCGGCATTAAAAACATACTTCGCTCAACGGTTTATAATTAAACTAAAATGTTTTAGAAACGTTTTAGCTTAAACTTAAGTGAGTGCATGACACGGCGTTCATGGTAATAAAAAGTAAATTATTACTTTGCAATTTAATTACTGACTGGGCCGATCAACGAAAAACTGTATTTGAAAATTTCTAATTAAAATCGCGACTGTGTTGAAAACGGTGAAACGATGTATGTAACGTTAACGTCGTTACATAGATATTTACAATAAACGTTAAAGAATTTTACAAAATTGTTGGGCTTTAAAATCGTTGATAATTACTTGCAAAGTAACGCCATCGATACTTGTGACGATCTTAAACGAGTCGTACGAGCGTCAGCAGATACGCGTAAACGTAATCACTCGGAACTATCGTGAGATATCACGCGATTGACAAGTTTTTTTTTTATCAGAATTTCAGTCAGCAAAAAAGGAAAAAAAAAGAAACGATATCGACAGTATATTAGATATGTACGTGGCTACTATTGGCTAACCACAGACACGCGAGAGGACAAAATACAACTACCACTTTGTGCACGCCAGCCAACGATGGAGAAACGAATCGAATGGAACCGAATGAAAGCGTAATAACCATATCATATACGGTATATAAAGCGTGAAGTGTAAAAGAAAGAAGAAGTGATATACTCTTACCTGGTAACGTCATTTCAAAGGAAATATTAGATTCTTACGAGTTATGATATTGTTCTAGGAACTCGTTGTGGAACAGTTATCAAAATTAACACTAAGAAGACTAACTGGTCATAATTTGTCGAATCATAATTTCATTTCATCGACGGTTCAGCACTTACGCGTAAACAATATATATATAGCTAGCTACTCGCGATTTCAAATATGGATTTTCGTTTCGTTAAATTCTTTAGTCGAATTTAGAGAAATTGTTAAAACTTTCATCAAACTCACTAAACTAGTCTATGTAGATATAGAGACGTCTCGTCCCCGTAATAGCAAACAGCTCAGTACTGCTCAGTACCACTCAGTACAATAATGTCGTTCAGTACTATCTTGCGAACATGTGAAGATCAACCGACGCGATACTCCTTCCTCTTTTAACCCTTATTTGCTTTTTAAATTTTTGTGACTACGTTGTACAGCGGTCGCGAAGCCATGTAACCGTCGATTTTTTAATTTTTTCCTGTACCCACGTGTAACATCAAACTACTGACGTCATCGATCCGTCCTACTAAGTTTTTATTGAAAATGTCAAACGGCTGTATAAAAACGACCACGTGATGTCGTCGATAAACTTAAATATTTTCGAACACAGAACTGAGAAATAATTCCTTTCAGAAACGTGGATTACAAAGTTCAGAATAAGATAGACTCTGTTCGCTGTCGTCTATATATACAGTTTATATACTTACTATTTTGCAATCTCTCGATCACGTGTGTTCGACAGATTTAGAATATAAACAAAATCATGGCTATATTATTCTTATTTTACGTAATTAAAACCTAATGTCAAATCAAGATTTTAACATTTCCTATTACGACACCAAATGAACAAATCTTAATAGTTATTCGGCGGACTCAATAATCGGATATAGAATCGAAATGATATTTAAAATTATGCAAACTGTATGAAATTGTAATGAGACATTACTTATTTCATTTTGAATACCGATTAATAAGTTTAGCCCTTGAGAAAGAGTAATGCTGTTTATAGAGTTGGTAAATAAAATAGCAACATGAAATGTTACACAATTTTATTAAGATCCGATACTACTGATTTTTGCATCACTTATTTTGTGTCTAATATTTAACTGCATTGGGCACGTGCCATCATTGAAATCTTCTGTGCCTTTTGTACTATCTCTGGACAATGCCTACGACGTACAAGTTTACAATCTTGAAAGAAACCCTCATTTCTAGGAAATCCATGAGATCCATCGGAATAAGTGACCAATCCTTGATTGAAATAAAATTATAAACAGTTTACAAGTGCTGTGTAAGACTATATATACGCTAATACTTTACATACCTAAACCCCATACACGGCCACCACGAAATTCTCCTTCAAATTTCATACCATCAGATCTCCAAAATACACCATGGCCATGAAACCACCCTTGCATAAATTCACCTTCGTATCTGATTCATGAACAACATTAAAAATTTGATAATTATTAAAACCGAAAAGACCTATCTGATAATAACATTTACTTTGCTCCATCTGGAAACACTATGACTCCTAAACCAGAACACAATCCATTTTGAAAACTGCCGTCATAACGTGTTCCGTCAGGAAGAAGCAAAGAACCAGCACCATGTTTTAATCCTTTCCCATTCCAGTCTCCGATATATTTTGTGCCATCTTCGTATTTATACGCACCATTTTTTACCACACCTACAAATAAATTCTCTTGTACAAATTTGTAATTTTTTAACTATGGCACAGTTTTTGCACAATCTGTAAACTAATACAGTCTTACCATCACCCATGCTTCTGGTATACTAAAAGCATTTCAGGTTTCAATCCTATTACAGAAATCAATTCTTTATTCAATTATGTACATTATGTACAATATAGCATGGATACAATATAATGAATCTTACTTTCTATACTGCTACATGCAAATCTAGTTTAGCAAAGAAGATCATGGTTTTTTATATTTATAAACGGGCACGTATAGTTCGCGTTTTGTATAAACGTTAAAAAATAAAAATAAATGTCTGTATTTGTAAATTATATAATATTTTATTTGTAACTAATTTAATTTCGTTTAAAATAAACAGATCATTGTTCTGCGATTCCTCCTGGTGCGCCAACTAAGAACCATTGTGTTCTTGCTTTTGTTGCAGCTTTTCGAACCAAACGTTTTCGATCGTCAATTGAAACTGCTAATTTTTCTAATACATCTTGCTTGTATGTATTAATTAAAACCGTCGGATAATTGCAATAATTTGTTAAACATTCTAAAGCTGCAATTCGGACTCTCTGAAAAATGTTACGGTATAAAAAGCGTAAAAGAATGCGGTAAATAGTACAAAGAAATTTTGTAAAATATTACCATTGTTCTATAGCTGGACAACTGAAAAAATCTTGGGATAAAACATTGTGCTTTATCACAGAAAATAGGGTGTTTAGCCTCTAATAAAACTTGCAATGTTATTAACGTTGAAAAAACTAATTGTTCGTTATCGAGTGTCAAAGTTTCTATCAAAAGAGGAACCAACTGGAAAAGTATTTATCGTTAAAACAAACTGTAATAGTTAAATTAATATTTAATAAGTACCTTTGTTAAGTGCATAAATAGAAGGTCCATAGGTACTTCCTCTAATAGATGTACTAATGCAGTCAAATAGTTTTGCCTGGATAAATTCTCAAATTCGTAATTTTTTTTTATTAAGTGTTCAAATACTCTTTGTTTATAAAAGATTTTGATATTACAAAAATTTTCTTCCACCAAAACATCCTCATGTTTATTCGTTAGTAGTTTATATTCCTGCGCGATATGTTGTCCTACTTGATCGTGTTTGAAAATATTTGAAAGCTATAAAGACAATATATTTAAGAAATATTAATTATTAGACGCATATTGTGTTAACAAAATTTGGCAGTAAATTATTACATACCTCGTTCAGAAAGTTTTCAACATTTCCCGAACCTTTCGTAATTATGGCCTTTGTTAACCAAATTTGCAAAGAAGCTGATGCTTTCTTTATTTCAATGCTAATGTTTGACTCCAGATTATTATTTATTTTTTCTTTAAAATATAACAAAACATGTTGAAAGCATTCATTATCGTCATTCATTTTGTTTAGTATAACAGCAATGAATTTACTCGTTATACATCTTATATTCGAATAATTGTTGTTTAGTGCTAAATTATACAAATTTTCTAACAAACTCAAATTTATTGTTAGATCAACATTTGGTCGTAAGGGAATGAAGATATTCATTATTAACGCAGCATTAGTTTCCGAAATCTTTTCACTTAATACTGGAGCGTATTTGTTGATAATCTTTTGCTGTTCTTCAACTGTTAGATTTCTTACAATTAAACGGCAAATACATAAAATTAGATGTAATCTCTGATCCGTAGGATCAATATTAAATGCAACCAATTTCTCAATAATATTACATTCATTATGCAGATAATGTTGAACATCATAGTCAATGCTTTTTGTAGCAACTAGCCTGTGAAGACACGTTAAAGCGGTAAAGCTTATTTCAAAATTTACTGCATTTGTCTGTGATACAACGCGTGGAAGAACTTCAATACCTAATTCATATGTTTTAGCAACAGCTGCTAGTACTTCCAGTTTACGAACTTGTACTTCTACCTTTCCTTTGTCTGAAACATTCAAAATATCATACATATATATTTTAAAGTCAGACACGTTCAAATATATTACAAAATCTAACTCTATCAATTTACCAGTATCTAATTGAAATCTTTCTTGTACCAAAGCTGATATGTCACGCGGATATAAGGTGGCAAAAGTTAAAATAGATGTATGGCAAATTGTCCTTATTTCATTACAGCCCATTTCAATAAGATTACAAATTCTATCGTAAAGTGATTTTCGATGTACTTCATTCAAATACATTTTTTGTATTGTTAACCCAACTAACAATCTTGATTGTAATTCTGTATGCTGTATCGAGAGGTCATTTAAATATAATTGTGGTACATCTGTCCATGATAGTTCTGGAACACCTATACCAAATATTGTTTTATATTTTAGATATTTTTCACGAATGAATATCTTGAAATGTATAAAATATATATTTACTCTTGATATTAAATTCATGATCGCAACTAATTTTAATAAAATTGTTTAATGTTTCTATTAAAATAACTTTATCAATTACTGAAGTTTTGGTGGAATATTGGCCAAGACATAGTGGTATTATTATTTTCAACACCTGTACACATGATGCTTTGTTAACTGTTGCTACGCATTCTAGCAATTTCACAGCTGGCCTGAATAAACTAAGTTGTAAATCGTACAAGGAAGACTTTGTGTCGGTGATTATGTTATCAATAAAATTTTCACAAAGCTTGGAATCATTTGATATAACTTCAATTATAGATATGATTGCTTTCAAACTTGCATTTTTCAATTCTATGTCTCTGCCAGACATAATTTCTTTTCTCAAAACAGACCATATCTCGGTTAAATGTGGTTGAAGGCCTTTTATGCCAAATGTTTGTACACTATTGGACAAAAGTTTCAAAGAATCGAATTTGGCAACTTTAAGATTGGAGACCAATTTATCAAGTACAAGAGGTATACAAAACTCAGCAAATTGTGGTATAGCATAAAGACAAGGCGCTAGTTTTTCTGCCAAATCATCGCGCGTTATTCCTACTCCTTCTGATCCAGACTGAAAAATGTCAAGTCAAATTACAATTTATATTCATAAAATGGCAAACAGTTAAAATCTTGATTGATTGATGTAATTACAGGATTGAAGTCAACTGGAAAGTAACATGCAATGACTTCAAACATTTCTTCGGTTAAGTGACCTAATGAAAATTCTTTCATAAAATGTGGAAGTATGCTAAATAACAGCATAAGATTTCTAGGATCCCGTTCTCCATCGATAGAACTAATAACTCCGTAAACAAAGTCTGGCCCCATGACTTTCAAGTCCTCTACTCTATTTTGTAACAACGTTGTAAATATTAAATATATATTACAACGATCAGGCAATAATTGTGATTGGCATTGCACATTTTCAAAGAAAACTCTAAACAAACGTTCGGGCGAATCTTGAGGCAAGTACTTCATCTGAACCTAAAACAACAGTATAGCATTATGTAATTATTATTTGCACAAATATGCAGAGAATCCTTAGAAATCGCAACTTATTTAACAAGAACAAGAATTGTAACCACAAAATGTAGCAAAACACTTACAATTGCCAAAATTCCTCTTAATACTGCTGGTATGATGCTGTGGTGATCCTTGAGTCTATCACAATAAAATGTTATTATAAAGTGCAATTCAGCCTCGTTCAAATAATCTTTAGGCAATTGTGACAAAATAGAAGACAATGCATCAATGCCCTTCTCCCGTGTTCTGGCATCTTTGTCAGTTACAAAAGGTCCAAGTTCTTCTACAACTGTTGAAAGCTTCACATGTCCAGATTGTATTTCTAAATAAATAAAAATGTTTCAATTTTCTACTTTAATTCAAATAAATTGTAATCAGTTCTGATACATTACAAACAAGCTTTATCTCAGTGTATGGTCAGTTTTTATTCTTTTTAAGCATCAAGGCCAATCATCTGCATGCATAGACAGTACAATTATGGTAATTAATACACACCTGTGGCGATCTCTTGGCATGTCGCATTCAGTGTTTCGTTCTCTTTGAAAGCAGTAAGAAATCTTTCTTTAGAAACTGTACTTGCAAGAGAAGCCATCGCAAATCATGCCTTCTTGCTGGGTTACTTAACCTCAGCGTGACAATAAAATATACCTTTATCGAATTTTTACTATTATTGATTTCACTGTGAATTATTAGATACAATTCAAGCAGAGTGTCTGAATGTAATTGTTGCGTCACATGTAACATGTATCAGTGAAATATTTATTACCGAACTGTTTGTGTGTGTATATAGTTTGTTTTATCCATTTACGTGCGCGTGAATGTTTCAGGTTAAGTCACTGAAGATTCGATTAGAGCGCCTCTTATGGTACCGATTCGTAATTTAGTGGATAAGATGGACGAAAATGGCATGCGAGGTGTTGTTAAATTTCAGTGAAATGTTTGGTCACTCCAGCCGCCTAGGATGGGAGGCTGCATAGGTATAACGAGGGCAAGAAACGCCTCTGTCGACGACACTACAGGAAATTCGACGAGGGTAAATTCAGGTAAAAATTTGATCAAGTTTAAATGCGTAGAAATGCGATCAACAGCAGGCTAACCTTGAAGACACTTCAGCTTTTCCCTTACCTTCGTACCTAGCATTTACTACGTGTTATGACTCGATATTTACACATTATTTCTTACATGGTAGGTCAAGTAATTAATCGTCTCCGTATTTACGATGATTATTCATTAGCAATATCGAACGTAATATTCTTCATGTAATTCATTTATTGCTTCGATTTCTTCTCAGTAAATATTTGCATTTCAGGATTGTTTATCATTTTGCTGAAACTTAAAATTAAAAATAGTACACTGTAATAGGACAAAATAAATTTGTGTTTTGACACGACTATTCCAAATTTTGTCAATTTTTGATGCACTTTTGTTACTGTAAAGATATGTTTTATTTATACAGGAAATTCCAGAAAAAATCATCCGCTATGTCACGAAGTCATTAGGTGGAAGTCAGATGTACCTTTGACAGAGGGTCAACTCAGAAGTAAAAGGGATGAATTTTGGGATACAGCACCTGCATTTGATGGCCGTAAAGAGATATGGGATGCATTAAGAGCTGGTGCAACTGCAGCAGAAGCTCAAGATTATCAACTAGCACAAGCTATATTAGATGGGGCTAATATATCTGTGCCTAATGGCTTTTTAACAGAATGTTATGACGAGTTAGGAACCAGATATCAAGTCCCTATTTACTGCTTATCGTATCCTATTAATATTGTAAAAGAAGACAGTGGAAGAGATTCTCCCGCTGATTGTTCAGGTAATATAATAAAGATTGTTAGAGAAAATTTTAATTTTTAAGATAGTAACAGAAATTATATCAATTATTTACAGAACCTGTTGATAGTGGTGTCGAACAGACATTAAAACTCAGATTATCAACTACATTAGGTGAAGTTAAATTACCTGTTTACAGCAAAGACACTATTGCTACTGCTAAAAAGAAATTGCAGGTTTGTATGGGATTCTTTATATTAATAGAATATATAGTAACAAAGCTTCGTAATTTAATTCTTTTTTCTTTCTATAACTGTATTAATAGAGTCAGGAGGGTTTGGAGCCATCTCGTCAAAGGTGGTTTTTTGGTGGCAAATTATTAGGTGATAAAATGCATATAGAAGAAGCAAAAATACAACCAGGTTATGTTATACAAGTAATTGTGAATCCAGAAAAAGTGGATGACAGTCCAATGAAAACAAGCTGAACTAATGTATACGTAAGATACGAGTCATACTGAACCAACCTTTCTAATAAGCACTATCTTACACATGTTCAAGTAAGAATACATTTTTTTTTAATTTTATATCATGTCATTGTTAAGGATAGAGCAGCAATTCTTGAAGTAATTTTTTACAATAAACTGCACTTACAACGTATTTTTCGTAATATACGTAAATGTTATAAGAACTGAATACTATTGCGTTTAAATTGTAGGTTGTGATTATTTAATTTTCGTTAATTTATACTAGATCAAAAGAAAAATACTTCAGAGTGATAACCTCGTATGAGAATACGCTATTAGGGAATTTTGATTCAAATTTATGATTGGTTTAAAATTTAACATATATAAAGAGAAAAAAAGAAGAAAATTGGTTTGGAAATAACATTTAATTCATATTTTGAAAAAGGTTATACTCTAATCCTGATATTGTCAAACTTATTTGTTACTACCAACGAAGGTGCTGGTGCTGTAACACTCGGAAAACCAAGTATACATATAGAAAATTATTCTATGCTGCTTATTGAACCATGTTGCATAATTATATAATGTAAGAAATAAGTCGTACACTTAAAGAAGATTGTAATAATAAATAAGAGAATTACATAAATATTGAATATAAAAAAACATCAATGGACAATAGCGAGAAAGGAACAAGATATATGCTGCTTGTTATGACGCATTTTTTCTCATTTTTTTAGATTCCACTTTGAAAGTTTTTAAAATGCAAGGTAAATATTTATGATTTTTATTCAGATCAAATTAATAGGAGCGGTTACTAATATTTTATGTCACTTTTGCATAATATATAGGAGATAAAATTCTTTTGATACTTTGTTTTTGACTTGGTTCTTTAAATTTTTGTAAACAAACAGCGAGTGTTTATAGGTCGTAAGTTTGCATTATTTGATTAGAGTATATGTTCTTTTTAGGCCTATCGATGGCCTAAAAGCTACGATTCCTTCCTGTAAGTACTAATAGGATATCAAATAAGGTCTTCACAGCCGAATAATGCACAGAGAAGAAAACATAAGACTAATATTGAATTGCATGTGGTGCAGAATGTATAATTTTTACACAATTTTATCTGCACAATCGTCTTCACGTCTGTGTTATTTGTGCTTATGATAAAAGTGTTGACACAATAAAAACAGTACTACTAGTTCAATTTTAAATGGCACTTAATTCTTACTTCTGCTCCACATGTTGCACGAAAAAAATTGTCTAAAGTATAACTATACAAAAATGGCATATTGTGTGTGTGAATTTATTGACTGTACTAACACGACGGTGATAAAGGTTTGTTTCTTATATGCATTGATCATAAAATTATAATATATAGTATTGCGTGTGGGTGTATGTATAATACATAATATATAGAGTATATATGTATACAGATACATATATCAGTTCCACTATTCTCAATTCGAGTGACAAAACAAAAATATTTAATCTTATAAATAACTTATTTATAAATCGGGTAATCACGTGCAAAATGACTGGAAGCAGTCGTTAAAAATATGAACATAAAAGTGTATAAAACCCTGTTCATATAAAAAACGAAATTTAAATTAATTACGATGCATTTCTTTATATATATACATATATATGTATATATTATAAATAATGGTGCAAATAAAATAGCACTTGTCAGTCTAAAAATTTAAGAGTTCCACATACATATACCATTCTTCTATCTCTCTGCTAGATCGTTGTGTTCAAGAGCTGTAACTTTATACAAAGGAACAAACTTTTTTGTACAATAATCTGTAATGATGCATCAGTGGTATGCAATTAAAAGATACTTTTGGTTTGATCAAGCATGTGATTTCTTTAGTAAAACAGTAAAGCTGTTTAAAGTATTATTTTACGTGTTCTTTAAGTTCATAAATATCGAAATAGTAATTTCGCATTTATGGAAAAGACATTCGTTACCGAATGGTTCAGTAATGTCAGTCATCGATTTTCATAAAATTGATATAGAACGATAGGTCTAGACCTTGTGATACTTTAATACATTCGATTTTCGTAGGAACAGACTTATCAGCCAATACTGATTTTATTGAAGTCGACGACAGTTATTACTAACCTTTCCCTTGTAAGACATAAGATTCTCAATGGAATAACAAATTCTATCAGACTGATATTAGTTTTGCGATATAGGATTTGGGTTATTTGCAATATAGAAAAGAGACTGCATTAAGTTCTTTTTGATTGATATTCAGACAGTACAGAAACATTACATATTTTGTGCATAGTACCAAGTAAATTATAAATCCCTCATACGAATCTATACGAACCTTTCTATATAAATGTTGTGTTTCTTTTTTTAAGTGGTGTAATTTCTATTTGTATGAATGATAAAAAATATTTTCCTTTAATACTCATATCCATGTAATGTTGAATAAAAATGTGATTAGGCACAATTGCCATACAAGAAAATGAAAATAAGTGTAAATAAAGAGCATTACAATAACGGAAGTGCAATTCAAAACGCCTAATAAATATTGCTGCTGCTTAATATTAATGTTGCTATGTTGGACCAATGCATACAAGGCGTTTTAGAAAAAAAGAAATCAAAGAATGACTGATTGGAGATTAGGTAGAACAACTGCCAATAAAATAAAGCGGAATTCACTGTGTTGCTAATCAGAGGTTATTAGGAGATATGATATTATAAAAAAAAACCTTTTAGAATGTTAACAAAAATATTATTGTAATTAGGTAGCAATTATCAATTAAGCAGGGTTTACACATTTTTTAAACTAATTGAATATTACTATTGAACTGTTTAATATTACTTACCAAAGCTGATTTTTGAAATTAGATGCCGATACTAACATCATTTAATATTTGATATATGCCTAAGCACAAAAAAACCAAATGATGTTAGCAGTCAGTTTATTTCAATTCTCAGATTGGATATATAATCCAGTCAAGTTCATAAAATGTAATCCTAATGAATTATAAAAAGAGTGAAAATGCTACACACATTACATGATTTGTTTACTATTATTTTAGGATAGGTATTTATTTGTTCTTTATAAATATGAAATTAAATATACTTACAAAACAATGTGAAATTACTTAAACTTTGATATTCTGGTTGTAGCTATATTACTTTAAAGTACACACGTGTAAATTAATTTCTATGAATATTGATTATTATAACTTAATGCATTGTCAAATAAAGCATAATGTTGTGGAAGTGTTATAATATTCACCTATCAGTTCCTAATTTGTACCAAATAACAAAGTTTTATACAACACATTATATATTTTTGTAATGAATGAAACATGTTTACTACATTTATTTGTAACTTCATTTAACAATGTATTTTAAATACTTTAGTTCATGACACAGCCAAATCATTGTACTTAAAACAAGAAGACTACCAGACTGATGAGTTGCAGCTAATGCCAGAGGTACATGGTGCAATAATGTTGAAATTCCTAATAATACTTGTAAATAGCCGGCACAAAGGACGGCTGCTATTGCTTTTTTTGCATTGCCAGGAAGTCTATGATTACGAGATGCTATCCCAATAAAAGTTATCAACGATAAAGTGACAATGCCCTATAAAAAAAAAGGTAAATTATAATATTGGTGATGCATCATTCAGTTCTAATTTTATTTTAAGAACATACCAAAAGTCTATGATCAAATTGTACAGCAGTTGGATTTTCAGTAAAATTTTTCCACGTTGGTGATATCGCAAGTAGGTCATCCGGTAACCATTTATCTGCCATTTTTGGAAATGTATTATAAATAAGACCCGCATCCATTCCTGCTACGAAAGCTCCAGACATAGCAGTAAGAAAGACTATTCCTTTTGTTGAATGAACTAACATTCTAAATCTTTTTAACTTCTGTTTTACAACATTAATTTCAATACTTGAAGTATTCAGGCTTAATGATTGAGCGGGAATTAAATGATCCAAAGCATTATACAGAAATCCTGTATATATAATGAATGCCATTCCCAAATGCGCCGCTAAGCGATATTGCGAGACACGAGGAACGTCTGATGGCTCCGTGAAACGATTTTCCAAACCAGATTTAACCATGTACCAACCCATAAGTCCTTGTAAACCAATTAACAATCCCAGAATGGATACTCTAGTTTTCATTCCTGGCTTCAGCATACCTTTTGCCCAAAAGTAGGCTGCTGGAACTATGAATACAGCACCTATCAAACGTCCCCACATTCTGTGTAAATATTCCATCCACCAGATGCGTTTAAATTCTTCCAGTGTCATGTTTCGATTGGTTCTACAATAGAAATTTATGAACAAATAATAATTTTATAATATTTGTATTCGCTGTGTTGTTAACCCATACATTTTGTATTCAGGAAACTGTTTGTATCGTTCAAATTCTGCATGCCATTGTCTATCAGAGGTAGGTAGTTTTTCACCAAGTAGTTTCCAAGTAACCATGGATAAGCCAGATTCTGTAAGCCTTGTCACACCTCCTAAGTACATAGGAAAGGAGAAATAATTTATTGAGCATTCTTTGAATACATTTTATTCATATGCTATTTTATAAGAACTTAAATATTTATTGTATATAATAGCTTAAAAAGAGGTAAAGATAAAGATAATTATTTTCCATAAGTTTTATCTACAACCATTTTTACAATAGTACAAATAGAGTAATAGAATAAAAAGTAACCAGTTATACCTAAAACTACAGCTACAAATACCATGCCGCCGCAAGTTAACATCCATTTTCCTACAATTTTATCTGATTTTTTACTTGACTTTGTTGCGAAACTTAAAGCTATATTTCCTTGTTTAAACAAATCCTAAAACCAATGTTAAATAGTTCAAACTTATTTTAACTTATACATTTTACCATACGTTAATTTAAATTTATAAATTATTTGCATGATACCTTGTGTAAATAAATGGAACCTCTTTTCATTAACAGAAATGCTTTATTTGTAATTCCAGGTTTGAGAATACATGTATGTAAACTTTGCCGAATTGGTAAAAATCTTGCTGTATTGTTTCTTCCAATTATCGAGGCACAATATTTCGTCAAATTAAACATGCTAAAACAATTTTTAATTTTTAAACAATTATCTCAATTATACATTCACTTTAGAACACAATCGTATATGTACTTATTTATGTTATATTTTTACTTTCAGTGATAATATTTTTACGTTCTTCTCAATAATACACTATAAACAAACAGTGATATCCACTTCATATCACATATTTTCACTAACTTAATACCTAAACGTAGATAAAATAAGAACTTATTGCAAAGTTAAACAATACGCTCTATCATTTCTTTTAATCCCTCAATTACATATTATCTCAATCAACACTAATTACAAACATATAATTGCATACACGTGTTTGTTAATTTTGACCGTATAAGGAAAGGCCAGTGCTCACTAAGCCGCTCAGTGAGCAGATTTTAATATCAGTGACGCCATCGGTGAGAAAACGCTCAAGTTTATAGGGAAAATAGTTCCCACTTTCTCTGATAGATGGCGAAACTAACTAAAGGGTCGATATTTATTGTTGCATTAAATAATTATTCATATAAATTATAAATTTGGCATATTAACTAATATATTGTAGTGTTATAAAACAAAGAAGCGTAGTAATTATGCATTTAATGAGAAATAAAAAAAAAGATATTGGTGGCGCTATCTTACAGAAACGGTGAAAACTATTTTCACTATAAACTTGAGCCTTCTCCCACCGATGGCGCCACTGGTATTAAAATCTGCTCACTGAGCGGCTTAGTGAGCAATGACTTTTTTGGATACACAATGCAACCAATTTATACGCAAAGTTCCTATGAAATGTGGTTTCGTTTTGAAATACACACTGACAATAATTAATATTACCTATTTTTAGCAAATTATGAATACAAGTTATTCATTCATAAATGCAATTTATTTCAATATATTTACATATATTTTCAGTTTGCTAAATATTGGGAAAAAAATGTCATCTTAACCCCAAGTAAGATTATTGTCGCATTGTCGGTATCTAAAACGTGGTTCATTCGATTTTCAAATCTAATTATCGTAGTAAATGGAAACTCAATAGTTGTAATAAACGGAAGAATGTTTAGTTGTTCGATGTTTTCTTAGTATATCTGATAAGATTATCTTATTATGATAAGGTGTACAATGTTACAATCGTAAGTACTTGAGACAAAGAGGTTGACATTTTACGTGTGACAATTTTTATTCTTAATTGAACTGAAATAATTTAGAAGAACTGCTCAGGTAAATACTAACACTGCTCGTTATATAGAAATAAAGGAATATTGCTAGGATATTATTAAGAAATTTGTTATATCAGGAACACCAATATGGCACAAAAGAGTAATGCAATTAAATTAACTAAGCTTCGCCAGTTAATGGAAGCTGTTCAAGTAGGTGGTATTAAAGGGAAAGGTATTCAGGCTTTGATCATAAATTCAAATGATGCTCATCAATCTGAATATTTGAGGGAACGAGACAAAAGAGTTCAATTTATTAGTGGTTTTAGCGGTTCTTTTGGAACTGCAATTATTACACCAAATAAAGCTTTGCTTTGGACAGATGGAAGATATTATGTGCAAGCTTTGGCAGAGTTTGATCCACAAGGGGCGTGGACACTTATGAGAGAAGGTTTATTAGACACTCCAACAAGAGCTGCATGGTTGGTTTCTAATTTACCACCTAAATCCACTGTTGGTGCAGATTCTAATTTAATGAGTTATACAGAATGGGCTGTCTTGCACACTAGTTTAAATGCTGCTGGCCACTGTTTGATGCCGCTTGAAGAAAATTTAATCGATAAAGTTTGGGGCACAGAACAACCTCTTGCTACGGGTAATATTATTTTACCACACCCATTGCAGTTTTCAGGATGTACTGTAAAAGAAAAAGTAAGGCTTTGCAGAAAAGAAATGAACAAGAATAAAGCAAAAGCACTTGTGGTCACAGCTTTGGATGAAGTAGCATACATTTTGAATTTAAGGGGATCCGATATACCTTATAATCCTGTTTTCTTTGCTTATGTCATTCTTACATTAGATGATTTACATTTGTTTATCGATAAGAGCAGATTAAGCGAGGAAGCACAACAGCAGTTAACAGGGGAAGGGGTAAATATAGTTTATCACTCGTACGAAGATGTACACACATTTTTGAAGCAAACTGCAAGTTCATGTACTAATAATGAAAAAATATGGATAAGCAATGGTTCCAGCTATGCTTTACATACTGATTGTGGGGAAGCAAAAAAACACACTGCTATCACATTGATAAACGTTATGAAAGCTATAAAAAATAATGTTGAAATAGAAGGGATGAAGGCAGCACATATACGAGATGCAGTGGCACTTGTAAAATATTTTGCTTGGTTGGAAAATCAAATCAAGAGTAACAAAGAAATTGTTACGGAAGTGTCGGGAGCGACGCAACTTGAAAAATTTAGGCAGTAAGAAAATTTGCATGTAAACATATAAAAATTGGATACAACAAACATTAGTTATAATATATAATATTCAAAAGGGAACAGGAACATTTCGTCGGTCTCAGTTTTCCAACGATATCTTCTGTTGGGCCTCATGGAGCAATAATTCATTACCTACCAACATCAAAGACAGATGTACCAATTACAAGCAAAGAACTTTATCTTTGCGATTCTGGTGCTCAATACAAAGATGGAACTACCGACGTTACTAGGACATTGCATTTTGGTAATCCAACAGATTTTGAGCGTGAATGTTTCACAAGGGTATTCAAGGGCCAGTGTCATCTTTCATCTGCTATTTTTCCTTTAATGATACAAGGAAATTATCTTGATACGCTTGCTCGTGAAAATTTATGGAGCATTGGGTAGATATATTTTTTTCCTTATAAAATGGAAAATACTATTTATTTATATTTCAATGTACAATTACAGCCTTAATTATCTTCATGGTACTGGACACGGAGTAGGTTCGTACCTAAATGTTCACGAAGATCCTATTGGTATTTCTTGGAGACCATATCCAGATGATCCAGGTTTACAGCCTGGGATGTTTCTTTCAAATGGTATAAAATATAAAAAGTATCGATGTTTACATTATACATATACACTATTAATATAATTAATCTTATAATTAGAACCGGGATACTACGAAGACGAAAAATTTGGCATTAGACTCGAAAACATAGAATTGGTAGTAAAGGCAAATACTCGTTATAATCACAAGAATCGTGGTTTTCTTACTTTTGAAACTGTTACACTGGTCCCTATACAGACCAAATTACTTGATGTTTCTTTATTAACAGAGAACGAGGTATGTATTCGACTTGTTTTCTATATTTTGATTATTTTTAAATAATAAATCGTAATTTGTTTCAGATCGAATATTTGAATAATTACCATGCAAGGTGTTTAAATGTTTTGAGTCCGTTGTTACAGGGTTCAGAAAATGCAGAAGCACTCCACTGGTTGGAAAAAGAAACTCGACCAATTTCAAAATAACAATTAATTTGAAAACCTAAATCCTCCAAAAACACTAAATTTTTATTTTTTACAATAACAATACGTAATAAACTGTTTATACAATTACTTTCTTCCCAATTAACTTTGCTGTACTTGAAACTTGTATATACTACGTACTCGTCGATAACCTAACTTGTATTCGACAAGACTAATCTCTATCGATTCCACAACAAATTTTAAAACGAATTAAAACGAGCTCGCAAAAGGAACCGAAAAATCTCATTCCTGTACTCGCATGATAGTCTTTACATCGTTACTAATGATAATACCACCAATACTATATCGAACTTAACCTCGCTGACATAACCACTTGTTTTCGTGCGTCACTCGCAATTCTCAATGCATTCGTTATATATATATATATATATATATATATATATATATATATATATATATATATATATTTATACTACATATAATGGTACAAGTTGTACATTCAAGAAATCAAGTATCCCTGAAACTATTAATTTTCGAACATATATTTATAAAAGCTAATGTGTTTTTCTTTTTTTAACGAGTTCGAAACTAATTTAATTTGTACGTATAACTCTGAAGCACTCTGTACAGTTGATGTTTGTCGAAAACTTATGCATCAAAGGATTCTGTTTGTTTTAATTTAGTCACAACGAAGTATGTAAACACATTTCATTCAGTTTAGAAACACGTAAATAGGTAAGTAAATATCGGTTGCCGCATCAATTGAATTCTTCCCACGCGAAGAAAGCGCATACGTTAAGAAGTAAGAACTTGTGCTATCTATTGGCGCGTTATCGAACTCTTTAGTGGAGATTAATCGGAAAGAGCAAAGAGTTTTCGCGGGCGAACTACGTTTGCGCATCGATATATGCATATGTTTATGTGTATGCACACGTACACGTACATTGGTACTTATTTTTTTAAATCGTTTGAAGCACCGAGGGTTCGCGTGGGTAAATCGGTGAAAGGTGTTCGATTCTGAAATGGTTGGAACTGGCCAGTCATCGGTAAAGCATAAAATTGCGACAGAAGACAGAAGAAAGCCGACGCGAGCGCACATGCGCGCTACGTTACTGCATTTTATGAATGGATGAGCGAAGTGAATGAACGAACGTCAGCTGGGTAGGTTCGGTACACACACGTATACGCCCACACACGTAGAAGAAACCTGACACGTTATGAATGTCCGCAAAATAGGGAGGGCATGCATTCACAAATCAAAGATTCTGCATTTTACGAATCCTCTTTGAAGAATATCATTTTCCGGGTACAGGGAACGTGTTAGAAATATAAATATAACCGAGACATACGATTAAAACCATTAATCGGTATAACGTTACATTGTCTATTCATAAATTTTTGTGTAAAGTAAACGTCATAGTTCTGTACGCAAACATATCCTAAACAGGTTCACGGTATGCAGTCCGATACCAATGCTATTGGCAAACGCAAACTAGCGAGATATAGTCTGTAACAAGATTTCCTACACTAAATCTCGGTCAAGTGCACGCGTACCTAATGGATCTTCGATGTTATTCTTGAAAACGAAGGTTTACCCGCGAAGGCTTTATTCTGCGCTTGGAGTTACCTCTTCGCGAATCACTATCTTCATTATTGGTATTTAACTTAACACTTGGTATTTTCGATAAAAAATAGATTGTACTAAAGATCGGTAGAGATTTCTAGATAAGTGTTCGCGTATTTGGTAGAACCTACATAAAGGTGTGTACTTTGCGAAATGATTTTTGTCGAATACCGAACCAAACAGATCGACTGATTTACCCTAGGATAGTGTGATCGAAACAATATATGCTTTACCATCAACAACCAGCCGACGTTTATCCAACCTATATCCGTACACACGGTTAATCTCATTATCGTATCTTTCTCTGACCCCGGTCGCCTCGGGCGCGAATCAAACGTTGCAAGCACGATAAAAATAACGTCGGTCGATCAGCGTGGAATTCCAAAAATAATCCGCAACGAAACGAACTCTATTTTCGTAGCGCCTTTAGCATCCCCCTGTTACAAAGTGGTGGAAACGCTGGCGAACATGCGACGCACGTACGTACAGGGTGCAGGTGTTTGCTCGGTTCCATGGATAACTTCACCCCTCCCGGTGGATTACGGCGTCGTCAGAGCCATCAGGAAGAAGCGGGGATGGTGGCGTTGACGGCGGCGGGAGAAGAGGGTCGTCAGGACGCTCTCCCCGGTCTCGAGCGGTCAAGGGCAGTGGCGTCGCGTGACGTCATACGGCGCTGCAATGACGCAATCAGTCGCTATGGGCAACCTGACGGCTGACGGTAGCCAGGCAACCCTGTTGTTACCCCTCCGAGCCCGCTACTCCCTGCGGTGCTCTCGTTTCATCCACCTCGCGATATCGCGCTCTATCCGCACGTGCCGTTCCTCAATGAACCTCCTTCGCTCCTCTACCTTTTCGCCTCTTCCCCGCCGACAGCCACCGCTGTGCATATACGGCAACGCTTTCACGGTCTACCTTGCTTTTACGTGACGTGACCCTAACCCCTAACGAGGACTCTGCTAGCCGGATGCTGTCCGCACACGCGACCCACTCCAACCATTCTTTTCGGACGATCCTCGTTGTTTTTCACAAACAGTATTTTCATCGATATTTAATCCAACTAATAGTTACCAATGATAGTTATAATTATTCACGAATCATTTAGCATATTGTAAATGTTTACAGTCGTGTCGGCTCGCATGCCCTCGAATAGTCGAATCAAGTTCCCTAATATCTGCCCCATTTAGCGCAACTCCATTCAAAACCACTTCACCCCCTCGCGGCTTACCGAATTGCGTCACAGCGTTACAGGAGATATGAAATACGAGAGCTCCGGTGGCTCGTTATATGCTGCTCTTGCATCGATCTTGCCGGATAACGCGAGAGTAGCAAAAACCGTGAATCAGAGGTAAGACGGAGGGGTTCGCCGGAGGGGTGGTGATGCTGAACGCACGCGATGCAAAGCAAAAAGAGGGTTGCTTTTCATGCTTTTTATACGCGTGTTCGCGTATACGCGCCTTGTTTGTTCACCGCTATCCATCCAACAATTTACATCCTACAAAATCGTAATAGCATCTTGTATCGTTACGTTTGAAAGCTGAGAAGCAAAGAATTGATGAATTCGGACGTTGTTTCAGGACTTGGAATAACGCGGCGCGATCGATCCTCGAGAAAGAAAATTGTTCGATTACGATTGTAGGACGCGTTTCGCAGAGCATCTCTGACTGTTTGTGCGTTGGGCGAGATCCAACCCCGGATCGTTTCGATCGGAGTAGCTTCGCTCGAAGCGCAGGGAGCTTGGCGACGGGTCTGGCTGCATCTCGCGTCTGAAAACTTTTAGAGTGATCCCTGCATATATGCGTAGTCGGACACCTACGTGTACGTGTCTATGGAGTCGAGCCACGAGCGAAGCAGCAACAGGTTTAATCGCGTCGGGGTGTGGCTCGCTAGCTGGCTGGCTCAGGCTCGGCTCGGCTCGGTTCGGCTCATTCGGCTGCTCTCCGTCTGATGCTGGTTTATAAGATCGACACTGGGTATCGTTGCGCGGCGCGAATGAAAGCGGAATGCTCGTTTTGCAGCGTCGATGCGCCACTCGTCCGGTGGAACCAGAGGACGAGAACCTGAACACCGGGCTGGAAATTAGAAGAAAAAAAATAATAAAACGGATGCAGTAGCTTTCTCGTTAATCGCGTTTTATCGGTCTTACGCTTCGCGGAAAAAGAGTAGGAATCAAGATTTCCGGTGAAACTTTTTATTTGAAAGAACGCATCGCATACTCGTCACGTTGTTTAATATTCCATTATATCATGATTATCAGGAGCTTTGTAAATAGATTCGAACAACAAATTGATCCGTCTTATCCATCTTCCTCTTTTCGGCATGCAAACGAGTAAGGTTTTAGGAATCGGAAGCAATTGCTTAGGGGTGTTCGAGGCGCGCGTCGAGGCGGGTGCGTGCGCACGATCGGAAGTCGCGTCGTTGCAGCGTAGCCCAGCGGGGAATCAAATTTCACAAACACCTACGATCCACGGCTCGCGAGCGGACATTACTTGAGTCATCCCATCGTTCGATCTCGAAGACCGTAGCGGCCGGTCGCGCGACACACAACACGCATTTTTCTTCTTCGAGGGGCCCGGGTCGAACCTCGCACATCCACGGAGGAACTATATTTTACGACATTTTTTTGTTCGATTCCACGCGCGCGACCGTATGCGCGCGATCCTTATGCGTCGCGCGAGAAGCGCGTCGTCGTCGTCGCGGTCGTCGGTCGTTAGAGTGAGAGGAACGTCTGAAAGGAAGAAAGATGAAAGAGGTGAGGAACGAAAAGCGGGAGGAGGACAGATACGAGAAAGCGAGGGAGTTAACCGACGACGGGTCGAGAGACAGAGATGGACGAGACGAAAAAAAGGGACGAAGACATAGCGAGAAGTGTGGAGAGACGAGGACGAAGAAGGGTAAGAAAAAGAACGCGGGGAAGTGGTAGAGTAGAACAGAAGGAGATGCGGATAGCGAGGCGAGAAGGACGGAAGGCATCACGAAGTGCAGAGGAGGCCTCATCTCGATCTTGGTCCTATTTATAGACATGCTCTCACAGCCTCACTCCTGCCCACTTCTTGCACTGTCTCTTCTATATAGGTGTGCATACACCTATGCAGTGGCCATTGCACGTTCTCCGCACGCGAGAGCCAGCGAGCTGGCCAAAACTGTTGGTCCGTTCGAGTGCGAAGAATCGATGACGTGGACCCTCGTTGAGGGTCGAGACGTTGCCTCGGTAGTCCTGGGAAATCGCGATCAACGTTTTCCGTTAATTGGACCAACCACGGAAGCGATCGCTTCGTTCGACGTCGGTAGCAAGATCGGGGTACGGTTTCCACGCGTTTCTACCGAATCATGCGCGTTACCTTTTTTGGAGAAGGCTGTCGACCAACGAACGCACCGGATTGTCTCGCAACCGACGATCTCGAAATTATTTTCTCCGTTTCGCCGAGTTTTTACCTCGGTTGCTGCCTCGACCGAACCTAGTCGAGAGAATTGCATCGTTATGGTGCACACAACGCGTTCCGTTTGTCTGCTTTACTTTCTCGTTACGTGACGGCGATTAATTTCACTTTCAACGACATCGACTCGGAAAAACAACGAGTCCGTCCTTTCTTCATTTACTCTCGGCGACTCGACGAAATCCAGCGGCGAATCGAATAAAGGTAAATTGGTTTAGATCGATAGCAACGCGTAACGTTCTAAAATTTCGATTCGTCGCGGCTCGAGGAAGAAAAGGCCGGCACGCGCCTACTACGCGATTCTAATTGGTTGTTCGCGATTTGTATCGCGAGAATGGTAAAATTGACGATCTCAGGCGTCAAATGCGTATTTATGGTGAAAGGTTGCATATATGTAGAAAACGCGATACGACCACACTGTTGCATCGAGAGTGGCGACTCTCTTGCCGTGGACCGGTCCTCGTTAATCTTCGTGGTTGCCTTTTAAACGAATGCTTTGGACGAACAATAGTCCGGTCGCGTAGGACGCGGTTCGATGTATCGACATCCTTGATCGTCGATGTCCTGTTCGGTAATCGTCGATGATCGATAAAGATGTCCACAGTCGACGAATGCATCCGAGGCTAGAGCGAAAAGAAAAAAAATTAGCGATGGGATCGAGTTCGTAAATATCAAATTTCAGAGGATACACATATATCATAAATCTCGTTCCAGCCATCCTAAGCAAAACAGAGAATAAAATATTAAACGGATTCGAGTATACCAACGCTATAAGAAGGTAGATGGAAGAACAAGATTTTGCTGTTCAATGTTAACTTTGTATTTTTGTTAATAATCGTCGTAGGGAACGAGCCAGATTAAACGGCAACGATGATTACAACATAAATATACAGATAGTCGAAAGATTCTTTTCTCTGTGCATTGCACTCGGAGCACCATATGGCGTAGTAGTTACACATAATTTACCCAACTATAGCGTAATATCATCCGTAAAAAAAAGTTCTGTATCTTCCTTTTCTCACTATTTTTTTGACTTTCTCGTTCTCTCCTACACACGCATACACATACGTTATATATACACTCACGCGTAATCTTTTTCTCTCCCTGTTTTTATTCATCAAGAACGCGCGTGCGCGTACCCGTTCCACTGCCAACATATTTTCCGACCTATCTAGAACAATAGCGGATAATATCGCACACGCGTCGATGTAAACATCGTGATAGAGAACGTTTCATGATAATCGTAATCGTTATTAATATAATTTTAATATAATAATCATAATAAAAATAATCCTTTAATTTTAACAATATATATATATATATATGTATATATATATATATCTTTCTTCAATATATATATAGAGGTTTTGTTAATAAATAGAGCAACATATACATAATATTAATCGTGGCTAAACTCATACTTATATTACACGTAAATGATCGCGACGTAGCGGGAGGGAGGGAACGATTGGGAAGGAGAGCCGATAGGAAAGGAGGGGAAAGTAGGGCGGCAAGATTAAAAGGAGGAAAGTGAAAGATTTTAACGGGTTCCCTTTCTCTCCCTCTGTCACTCTCTGTCTCTGCTCGTACGATTAGACACGTAACCCATGTATACATATCTATAACATGTTATATATATATACATATTTACAAAGGAAAACTCCCGGTTCAACAACGATGATCACGATTAATAACGATTTACATACTTGTGGGGTTTGTTGGCGGTGAAAGAATTGTTAACGAGGGATCGCGACGGGGTTGTCTTTTCGAAAATCTAGGAAAAGATAGCTGTTTGTTCGGTTGGATCGTGAAAAGGAAATAGGAAGAGAGAGAGAGAAAGAGAGAGAGAGAGAGAGAGAGAGAGAGAGAGAAAAAGAAAAAGAAAAAGAAATGAGGGTTTACTGGAAAATACGTGAGAAAAGTGCGAGATTTTAGCGTGTCTGGAACACGAAGGGCGTTTTGAAGTAGGAACGAGACACGTGGACGCGTTCGAGAGGTAGAGGACGATACGAAGCGATTGTTCGATTGTATGATTGAAAGACACGAGGTTCGAGGACGCAAAAGAGTATGTGGACCGATTCTTGCAACGAGATCAGGGTGTGCGTCCTCGTTAGCCCGCTAAACCGACCGTGCAATTTCAAACGTCCTCCTTTTGGACGCAGACCCTGATTTTGAGCATCGTCCAGTGCTAATGCCTTCCCCGTAGGATCTCGAACGAACATTCAACGAATAAATTCGTTCGAGCGCTTATAAAAATACATAGAAAATACTTTTCGATATTCCCTGATTGAAAAGCGCGTACTTTTTGAATCGTTTCGATCGATGCTATTAGAATTTCGCGCTGTCGCGGAAGGGAGAGACATGGGGCCGGATCGAGGGGTGGGCTTTAGGGACTAACGACTCGCTCGGGGAACACGAGAGGGCGAACCTCCTCGCGATACTGACACGAAAGGCATAAGCTGGGTCCGCACGCATTCTGGAAGGAGTTTTTACGTCGGATTTGTACGTTCCATTTGTATCGTTACATTTTCAAACTATGTCATCGACCAAATGATCTTCCATGTTGTGTTTAAAATGTGTGTAATGCGATCGTAGCTTTATTTTTGTTCGACTTGTTTCTCAGGGATTACGAAAATCTTAGTCCGGCACTGGACGGACGCTCGCACGACAAAGATCGGGAATCGTCTATCCGTTATCGATCGCGAGGAAGTCGACGGGATCGATACACGCTCGATCTCCGATCGATTCAAGAAGGGCGCGCGCGCAGCATTTTTCCTTTTCCGCGCTCGTTTGCATGCGATCGAATGCGCGCCGTCTCTCTCTATCTCCTTCGATGAATTCCTCCCAGATTCCCGGAAGCTGCGGGCGGTATCGATTCTACGCCATCCGTACGAGAACGTGGTTGCAGTATCTCGTGACACCGGAATATTTCGCGCACGTATTCAACGCGAGATTTTTCGCATCCGCTTCTCTCTGGATCGTTCCCGATCGCAAACAAGTGCATAAAACGCGAGCCCGTAAATAACGATCCCCGACGTGTTGTTCGTTTCGAACGTTCGCATTCGAGAACCGATACCGACCGTAGTCGAGCGAAACAACTTAACAGCGTACCCGGTAGAGCTAGGAATCGTTCGTCCGTTCAAACTCGTTCCACCGCGAAAGCTAAATGCAACTACAGCGACAGTCTCGTAACGATGCGATGCGCGGGTACAGACCGCGGGCGTAAGGAACCCAACGAGGACAACAAAAGACGGAAAAGAAGAACTCGTAAGAGAAGAAGGCGAGAACGCGACTTTGCCCGGAGATGCTCGACAGATTGCAATTTCGCGTTCTCTCGATCATTCTCGACGAGAAGCACAGCTCGCGAGAGAGTCGATGAATCGATCCGATTGCACATGCAAGCGACGGACACGCGGTTCCGTTCGACGTTGAAAAATAAAAATGTCCACGTACGGATATTTACAAAAGGATTCGACGATAAATCCTCCTGGGATTTCTTACATACTAATGTCCGAAAATTCGGTATCACGCGTGGTTACAGCATCGAAAATGCAGCGTCGAGAGTCCATCGGGGCCGATGGGGGCCGATGGAGGCCGATCGCTGGCAAACCGACGACGATCGATGACGGATCAGTCGGTGACGGCAGTCTGTGCGTTCCGCCTAAAGGTCTCCGTCGTTTCCTCGTCGCCTGGCAAGGAGAGAAGCTGCATCGCGAGTGAGCACGATTGGCAAAAAGATCGAAGGAATGCGCGTGGAGATCGACGTTGATCGTCAACCGATCGAAGGATGCCTTCTACTGATTGCAAGGCGGCGAAGCGTGGCTCTGAGGATGATTTCTGGCCGAGGCATGGGTAGCCTCGCGCTTCAGCCTCTGTTTTAGGTGCACCTTGGCGTGTCGTTTCTTCTCGTCGCTCCTCGCAAACTTCCTACCGCATTGATCGCAACAGAAAGGCTTCTCGCCGGTGTGAGTTCTGACGTGAGTGGTCAGATGATCGCTCCTGGAGAAGGAGCGCATACAGATGCGACATTGAAACGGTTTTTGACCGGTATGAATACGAATGTGTCGGGTGAGCTCGTCGCTGCGAGAAAACCTACGATCGCAACCATCCACCGGGCAAGCGTATGGTCGTTCGTGCACCGGAGTTTTGCTCGGTCGATTCGGGTACTTTCGCGGCTTCACCGGGACCAGCCTGAGTGGCAGAGCGCTCTGTTGGTAAACCTGCGAGAGAATCTCGTGCCCCTTGGACGTGCTAGGGTTGTATTCGGCGAGCTGAACGCCCGTACCGGCGGATGGTGGAGGTTGCTGTTGCTGTTGTTGACTCGACTGAGGTTGCTGTTGCTGTTGCTGCTGTTGAACGGCTGGACCGTATCCGCCCGTTCCTGTCGGCTCCTGCTTCAGCGTCGTCTCTTGATGATGGTGATGAGGATGGTGGTGGGACAGGAGATTCGGGTCGTAAGCCTCTTCGTGCGCCGTTAACCAGCCAGCCGGGGTGGAGGTAGGCGTATCGTGGTAACCTGGCGGCGGGGGTGGTTTCGATTCGACCTGGAGAAGTTCGACGGTCTCACCGCCGTACGGGGACGAGTGCAGAGTGGGGTGAAGGAACGGTTGACCCGTCAAGGTCAGGGTCGGCGAGGGTAACGGACCCCAGAGCTCCTGACTTGCCGGCTGTTGCTGTTGGGGTTGCTGTTGTTGTTGTTGTTGTTGTTGTTGTTGTTGCTGCTGCTGCTGCTGTTGATTTTGCAGGGTATTAAGAGGCGAGGATTGGGCGCAGGTGGTGGTAAAGACACCGCGGTAGGTCAGCGTCGGCACGTTGCAAATGTTGACGCTGGTCGCGGGCGCCGATGACACCGACGACGTGGAATGCGGGGAAGAGTAGAGGATCACACCGCCTTGCAGTACGTTGCAACGATCCGCGTCGTCTTGAGCTTGATGATGACGCGGCGGACTGTTCGACGAAGGCGCCCCAGGCGTTCCGTTGTCCTGAGACTCTTGGTGATGATGATGTCGGTGATCCCTGCTGGCTGATGTTGTCGTCTCATCGTCCTCCGCTGTCGCCTCTTCCAGGGAAAGATCTTCGCCCGCCAGGCTGCCTGAAAATCATCCATCGAGTTCCTCGTCAGTCTCGAATCGATAAATCGATAATGGTTGCGTTAAGATTACATGGGTACGCGATTGTACGCGTACGAAACTCGCACGGGTTCACGCGTGCATCGCGACCTAAGCGAATCGACAGGAAGGACCGTGCGATACGGGGGTGACTTTATCTCCGGGCCGCGAGTATATCGGCTGGCTCTATCTGTCGTCTGCATCCTGCCGTCTCGTTACTTCCTTCCTATGTACGTATGCTGTATCGTTGCTTCCTACCGAAAAGCAACTCGGCGGACTCGAACTCCCAGAAACAAGTAAAGCTCGACGTCATTCGACGTTACAGCGAAAATAGATTTCTTCGCTTTCATCGAGTTTACCGATTATCCGGGAAAAGGTTTCACCTCAACGCTCGAATGCGAACGCGAAAAGAATGACGAAGAAAGATGAGAAAAAGAAAGTATTATAGCGTGACCAGCTCGTTTGGCAAGAACGTCGCAGAAGATACGACTACCGGCGCGACGGAGGGTGGTTGCGTTGCTCCGGATGAACGAGGTGGGGGCACTTGGGAGCATGAATGAACTGGCAAGGGGTGGTGGGAGGCAAAGGTTGGGAGGCGGGGGCGATGGAGTTGCAGGGACGCGGAGGAGGGTCTCTGAATGTCGGGGTCGCCGAGTATTGATCCGCGACAGGCGGGCAGGTTCGATATTAGCAGTTTTCGCAAGCCAAAACGTTATACATACGTCACGGATAGCTCGTGCACTCGGTCGCGACACGTTCCCCGCGACGACACCGAAATCGGATTGCGGGAAAGCCGCGTTTTCGGAGGGGTGCATGGCACGGCTACGAGGGTAGCAGCAGCAGCAAGAGTTGGCGGATATGCGGAAAGCGAAAGTTGGAACGTTCGTGAAACGCAGAGAGCAAGTGCAAGGTCGGCAGAGTTCGAACCAGCCGATACTCTGATTTGCGCGTCGTGTCGCGACGCTACGCGGCGCGGGCACGGGCGCGGGCGGCTCGTTCGGAAAACATGTATTTCGATGGGGACGCCGTCGAAGAAATCTCGTCGCTCGAGGCAAACTCGGAATACAATTCTACCAACCTAATATAATCGTAAAAGCCACGTTCGAAAGGTATGCAAAGGGCGATCTCGTTCGAAAAAACGATCCGATCAACTGGTCTGGGAAACGAGAAGATGTTATCGTCAGCTGATTGAACAACGAATTATAGGACTGCTGATGGTAGATACCTGAAATAGGAGGTGGCTCGACGAGCGCGGAGGGGCCGAAGAAGGACGGTAAATCGCTGCTGGTGGTAACCGGCGTGTTTAGGTCACCTGGCTTATCCTTCTCGATAGGATCCTGAAGATCGTCCCTGCAGTCCCTCGAGCAGTCCTTCTCGTCGTTGCCGGACTGCAACCGTCGTTTACCGTCGGTGGAGTCGTTGGACGGCGAGGAGGCATCGACGTGTCGATGATGCTGATGGTCACCGAGCCGTTGATGATGGTGATGATGATGGTGATGGTGTTGCGGGCCATGGTGTTCCGTGGTATCGGTATTGTTTTGATGTTGCGGGTGCAAAGAGAGGGTGGGTATCGTTTTGTTGCAATTCGTCGAAGAGGTGCAAGTGGTGGGAACTGGCGACGACGTGGCGCCGACACCGCAAACAATCGAGTTCGAGGACGTCGCCGCGTTGTACGGTAGACACGCGTCGAAGCTGAGCTGCACCGTTTGGAGATTGAAGGTGGGGTGATGATGATGATGATGATGATGGCCAAGGGGCGGCGACGAGAGCAGAAACGGGCTGGTGGCTGCGTGGGGCTGCGTGCCCACCACTTCCATGCCGTCCATCGTCATCCTCTGGAGCGGGTCGCCTCCCTGGCCAACGACGACAGCTTCCTCGGTACCGCACTGCGTGTCCTCGCCTGCGGTTGTATCGTTCAACGCTATTATTATGGTTAAAATGTTGTCCTTCCTCGATTGTCCCGACACAGTTAAGCCTTTTTCTCTCTCCCACCGGGTCAAGCTTTGCGCTGGTTAGCTTTTTCTATCGTCTTTCGGTCTCTGTCTTTACCGTATCCTTTCGTTCTCCGTGCAACGAGAGCGTTGTTCGGCGGCCGGAAGAGATACTTTGCGCGAGCACGAGATCGAAACGTCAAGTCCGTAGAGATCGGTCGTATCAGTCCTTCCCTCCTTCTCTCAAGCTCGAGTCACTGGGTTAGTAGTCAAGCGGACGTAGCACGCGCTCCCCCTTTTTTATCCGTTGCGCGGCACGCGCCGAGTCTCTCTTTCAGCGAGGTACACACGAGGGAGCGGACGCCGGGCGGCAAAAACCGTGTCTCGATCGCTCGCCTCTCCGTCCTTCCTTTTCTTTCCCTCTCTCTTTCGCGACCAAGCACGGCCGCGCGCGCGCACTTGTGCGATTTGTCGCGCTCGGATAATAGACACCACCGTGCGTACAACCACCACCAACCGCAAACCACTACCACCTCCACCACCACCACCACCACCCAAGTGTACAGAACAGAGAAAATCCAATCTCACCGAATCGCGACCGATCGTCGTTTCGATCCGGATCTCATTCGCCTGGTCCGACTAAAACGGACCAACGAGAACGCGTGACAACGCGAACCGAAGGGGTGAAAGCGTCGAGACCGCGACTCCTCTTCCAAACGGTGGTTACGGTTACGGTTGTCGCCTCCTCTCTTCTTTTTCGAGTCGGCCGTTGATCGAGCTTACGCGTTCGAAATTCATAAGATTCTTTCCTCGCTCACGGATCCACTCGTGTTGCGTCGCGTAGGTGTAGGCGCGCGCGACCGCGCGCCTATTTGTCGTTCCGTTGTCCTCCGTCCTTTTCCGTCTCCTTTCCCTCCTCTCTCGCACCCTGTTCCTACCTCTTCTGTCAGATTTACCGTGCGACGTAGGTTGGTATGTATCTCTCCGCGGTTAGGTGTGCGTGGTCGAGAGGAATCGAATCGTCGGAGGACGCGCGATGCGTGGGGGTCGCGCACGAACTGAGCCGAGCGGCGGCGCGCCCCGTAGTTTTATGAATGGACCGCGGAGACTGTCCCATATTTGGAAGCGGCGAGTCGACCGCCAGCCAATCCCCGCTCTGCGGTTCCCTATCAATCCGCGTCTGTGTGCGAGCGCGTATATAGCTGACCGCGTGTGTGTAAACGTACACACGCGCCTCTACTCCCACTCCGCGACGCCCGCCGTCGTCACTGCGAGCCACCGCTCGCAGGCATCTTTACCCCCACCGAGCCACCCTAACTCCCCTAGCCCCTCTGCGTGCTTCGCACTCCCGCGCCACTTCTCCCTCTTCAACGACGCCGCTCGTTCTCCAGTGACGTAGAGCACCGTGACGTAGAGACGTGGCGCGAGCGCGCGCGCTCATCAAACTATTCTCCCTCGCTAATAAACGTTTCAAACTTTGCGACCAATTTTTTTTTTTATATGTATATCGTTTCAACGCACTTCATCGCAATTTTGAAATGCTGGCATGTTGTTTCGTTTCGGGAACATACGTTGAAAATAAATATTTTCTACCTATGCAGAGCGAGATTACGGAACGATTGATAGTTTGTAGCTGATACTTTGTGTGTTCCAGGAAGAAAGAAATGTACAACGAGTAAAATGCCATTGAAGCAAGGCGTTAAAAGTCATATCGAATAATCTTTTTAAATTAAAGTGTTCATATAATGTGCAACGGTTAAAACGATTCGGAACGATACATATATTCTTTGGTGAGATGCGAAACGTTGCCAAGTTTGCGCGGTCTATTCTTCCTCCCCTTCTTGTTCTTGTGTTTCTCCGTAGATCTTTCGCTCCTCTCATTTGAAAATAGATACAATCGTGCAAAGCGAGAAAAGTTTCCCTCGTGATCGTCTTTTCGTTACGTTGCCGCTCCTCTGTCCGCGTAAGCTCGCATCTGCTAACGCGAACGGCGCACGCGTATCGACGCTTCGTCCCTGTCGATGACAGGCGTCGGTTTAACGTTCGAATTAAACGTATCGATTAAACGCTGCTTGTTCGGAGATGAAGCTCGCTCATTGGTCCCTCTCGAGAAACTGTGTATTATTTTGTTTTCGAATCGTTACAAGATGGTTGAAATTTCCATTAACGATACTTGTTTTACGACTCGTTTCATATAGGTAGAGATTTTACTCGGTTAGACGTCTGACTAATCGTAGGACGACACTACTTGCTTTTAATTTAGCCATCTCTGACACACACCGATCAAAGTCGTTCTTTTAAAGCTCGCGTTATCGTCTCGCTATCGTTAAAGCCAGGGGGAAAACGAGGACGTTTGGGAAAGATGAAAAGCAACAGGTGAGATTATTCTCGGATAGTCGCGGGCGCGCGTATCGATTCTGTTTGAATGCGGTTCGATCGGATAATCGACGGATAATCCGGGTGAACGGCGGCCCGCAAAGTTCCGTCCTGGGCCGAGTTTGCACGGCAAAGGAGCAATTTCCTGTGTACAGCCAGTTGCCACCACCTGTAAGAGTGCGCGCGTGCCGCTCTGGTACTCGCGTACATGCGTGCGCGCGCCCGGTTACGAGAGGCACACGCGCCTCTGCGCACGCGCGAAAGATCTTTTTCTCTCGCGGGCGTCGCGCAACCACCTGATGCCCTATTTGGGACCACGCACGGCCACGCGACCGTTCTCCGTCTTTTTTTCTTTCCCTCTACCCCCTCCCCCTTTCACTCTATCTCCGTCGCGATTTGCTCCTTCTATTTTCTTTCTTTTCTCGCTGCGCTTTTCTTCCCTTGACTTTCCGATCGTTTTCCTTCGGTCTTTGCTTCGTTTCTACGGTTCTTCTACTCTCCATTGCTCGCGGTGTTCTTAGATATAACGATTAAAAATCACCGTATTAGAAAAAGTTTGAAAGGTTTCGCTTTAAAATCAGTCTTCCACGGAGTATTTCGAGAGTCGAATAAAAACATGGGGTAACTAAAAAAGGTTGGCCGATTTACCGCTGTCATCCCTGGTAATAAGGACACGCCATAGGAGGCAACCGATCGATGTAAAACGAGCGTGTCCGCGTGTTTCTCGATTTGGCTATCACTTTGGCGTCTCAACTTCATTCCCTGCTCCTTCCCTTGCCGTTTCCTTCCCGGTCTCTCCCCAACGTCAATTTTCTCTTCCTTTTACACCGCGCCTCTCCACTCGTCCTGTTCGTATAATTCCTCTCTTTAATCCGAGCCTTTTACGAACACGTTTGCGAGACGCGTAAACGGAAGCGATTTGATAAGACGGAAGAGCGTTTATCGGACGACGTGCGTTCACTCGCGATGGATGCGCCGAGGTTGTTTGCGACTCGGCCTCGTCTAACAAGTGAACGAGATAAAACGACACGACGATTTACGAACAGAAACGAGGCTTAATTGATGGCATTGCCGTAACTTTGCCAGACTGAATTTTCAAGAAATAAATTCTAAAAAATGCTCCGTTTGCCTAGTAGAGCGAAGGACGCAAATAAAATGATCACAGCGTTGAGGTAGAACGATGTTACTGCGAATAGTCACAGGGACAGGTTGCGCGATATTATAATGAGTCAGTGCCATATATAACTTTATCAAAAGCCGCTCGCGTGGCTCGAACGCGTTACGTTAGAGACACACGGTCGATTCGACTCGAAGCGTTTCACTCTTTTCAGACACTCCGAAAGCCAAGTCGTTAATTCAACCTCGCGGAAATTCGAGCCAAGGGACCGATTTCGTACAATGTAGCGCAACACGGATTTGGGACAATTATACGGCCAACTGCGACACGTTCGTTTCGTAACGAGATTCAATTTTCAAATTTAAATGCCACACTTGTAATTTTGTACAATGCGTACACCTTACCTCCGAATGCAAACGGCTAAGAGTGCTCGACGACTGAATATTCTTAGGTCTATTGTGAGCAACACACTTCCAATATCCACTAGTTTCCAATATCCAACTTTCACTTGCATCGATTAAAAAAGCTGAATTCTTTCAGACAAACACGATCGAGGCCTCTTATTCAAAGATCGTCATTGATCGAAGGAACTCGACTGCAACCGGAAACAGCAGAGCCCTGAATTGTTCTATTCGTTAAGTAAACACCCCACCGAACTGTTACAGTCTGTTCGAATAGGCGTCCGTGAACGCGTGGGTGAGGCGCGTACATCGATCTCAACGTTGAACGTAATCTCGACTCGAGACTCGCGAAGAGGAAGCAACGGCACGCGGTTCGCGACGCGTGTACGTGCGACTCGCGACTCCGCGCACGCCGTCGCGGCATCCTGGCACGAAAACAAAACGTTCTAAAATTACCGTCGGCTCTCGAGAAGGCGGTGGGCGCGCACTATTCGCGGCGCGACTCGACGTGATTTTGCGCGGGCGATCGTCTCTATTTCGGGCCGCCACGCAACCACCTGAGCCACCCAGCATCCCCAAATACCCGGGATGACGAGCAAAGCGCGCACGTCGCCGTCGGGTACTCTCGCGCGCGTACGGTCACGATGAGTCAGTCAACCGATCTAGACACGTTTTGGCATCGATCGATTCTCACCGACAGCCTGCGACAGATATGGACACAATTCTCGTCCAGTTACAACATTTCGAATGGGTCGTTCTTTATTTCTCTGGTATACAACAATATAAAGTCACGTAATCGATCGAATTATTCCTCGATCGATGTACCGTCGAGTCTCGTTAAACCAGAACGCAAACCGTGGAAAACCGATTGCGTGAAGGCCGACGCCTCGGGAAAATCGATTATCCTCGATGAAGTCGTTCCCCGTTTAAACCACGATCTCTGGGAAGGTCACGACTGCTTTCGACGAAGGATGCTCGGTGAATTAGAGAAAGGACGCTTAATCCTGGCATTAACGAGGTTGCTTCGAACCTTATTTCTCTCTTTGTCTCTCCCCCTATCTATCGCTATTCGAGACTCTCGTATTGATTACTCAATGCTCCAACCAGCGTAATCGCGAGGACTAAGAACAAGAAGTCGTAGCTTGTCTGTAACCCACATCCGAACGCAATTAGGGACGAGCATGTTTTCGTTGTAGCCCGTCGTGCGTGATGCACGTATGCGAGATAGTGTACGTGTACGTACATTCACGGTTTCAGGGGCGCATTAATCGCAGGAATAAAACGATAGCGTTCGCGGAGAGTGTCTCGAAAACCAGAGATCGCCACGTTTCTCGATATACAAAAATATACGAAATATAAAGAATCTTTGCGTCTATATTTTCCGATGCTTTTTCTTAGACGTTTACGTAGTTGTCTAACAAATCGAGTTGTCTGGATCTTTAGTCGCTCGCGCTAATGGTACCGTTGACGAGCGTCCTTTTAAGTCCGCTCCTGTGCCGGCTCCGGCTGTCTGTATTACTTGGCCTGGAGGTGAGTCACGACGCGCGAGTCTTTCGCACGTTTTTGCGCGGCACGATGCCGGTCTCGTCGATTAACGATCGTTTCCGGCCGACTCGAGCATTTATTCAGGATTCCATAGCGATAGCTTCCGGAACGTTGCGCACTCGTGTCCTGATTGCGACGTTATTGCGTATTAACGATTCTTTTTTTCATCGTCCCATCCGTTTCGAAGCATCTCGAGTCGAAGGTAGTCGATAATTCGTTGAAACATCTTCGTAGCTTTGAGCGAGACAACGATGACTTCATCTTTGATGGGAAAAGAGAGCTAATCATACCTCGAGGAAGAAACAAACCTCGACAAAAGGATGAAATATCGCCACTTTCATTGCAAGACGAACAAAAAATGTAATCGGACCGTGCATCTACCGATCGATTCGCCAAAGTTCCGCCGCTTCCTCGATGATTACGATGACGTAACTGTGGTTGCAAGGTCGAATCCCAGAGGAAGGAGAAGACGAAGAAGGAACGAACGTCTTTAGACGATCAAACAAAACGCACGCGATTCGAGAGCCCTCGTAAAATCGTTGCCCGCGGCTGACTGCCTCCGTTATCCATCAGCGTCGCTCTACACTTTGCCGAGCCGTTACACAGGATCAACATTTTTTCTCTAAATCGACTCTGGTGCATCAAAGAAATTAGGTGGACCGCACGCGACCAGGAACCGACGCTGAATCCACCAAAACATCCAAGATTAGGTTTTTTTTTTCTCGGATCTCAAGCTGGATCGCGCGACGAAGCGTTCGGTGCGTGTCTATTTACAGGAAATAGGTCACCAGCAAAGATCTCGCGGAAGATCCGTGGAAACAACTCTCGAAATCTTGGTTTTCCTTTTCGAATTGTTGCCTACAAACCGAAAATATCGTTGGATCGTAATCGTCCGGTATGGAATAATCGTGTAAAACCAAGGAGTGTTTACGAACGATACTCGCGTTGCAGGACAACATGGTTGCGTTCTTAAAACGGCGACACTCGACGTTTACCAAGGAGCCTGTAAATTCCTTCGTCGCGTGGAGGCGTAGAGGAGAATTTACTATCGAGAGAAGGGCCGTAACTTGCATCGTACTTCCTAGTTTTCCGACCTTTTAATGCGTAATCTCGTTACGATGAGCGTCCCGACGCGACGTGGGACACGTGCTCGAAAGAACCGCGACGGAGAACCGACGCGCTCGTTACCGCGGTTTCTCCCGTTTTTACCCTTTCGAATTGCCCTTCGATCCGTTGCTAGAAAAGTGAACACATTTTTTTTGGTGTGACTGACAAGTGGAAATCGTTGTCGCGCAAGTACTTCTCGACCGAGTATACCCTTTACAAATTGGTACGTCGCGTCGTTAGAGAGCGGGCACGTGTCGAACGAAACCGTCGCCATCGTTCGCTATTTTGTTTTCACACGCTTTTACTATAAATAAGCAATCGCGACAAAGTGAGAAAGTCAAAGCACAAAGCGAAGCAGGTATTAATAAATCTGCTGATAACGTCAACGTTGGTGTAAAGAAAAGAAAAAGGGAGAAGTGTGATCTCGCTAAAAATACAATTGCTCTACGATACACGGATGAAAATACTTTATGTAAAATACGGTTTAAAAATAAGCCGTTCAAAATAGTCGGGTTGCGTGGAACGTGAGAACGGAGGGAAAGTTGGACCGGCCGGCGCGACGTCGGCGTCGGGGGAACAAAAGGGTGCGGCACAAAATATTTGCTATAGCTTTTTGTGCAACGAAAAATATAGTTGTCAGCCCACTTCTATCGCTGACCGTATTATAAATAACTCGTATCGATGACACCGAGGCGATTAAACTAACCGTACCATCCAGAATCAAAATACAGTCTAAGAATAAAAGATACGAAAGGCCAGAGAATGTAATCATCTTCGAATTATTCATCTTTTCCCTCTAACATTTCGTCGTAACCGCTATCGGAGAGGAGACACGACTCGTTTCAATTCCATGGAAATCGAAACTGTCGTTACCAACGATCGAAGGAGGAACATTAAACGTTACCTGGGAATCGATCTTCGGTCGTTTCTAAAACCGATCGAGCTACGCGTACAACTCCCTACGATTCACCCCATGTATCGGCCAATCGAGAATATCCCGTGAATTTCACCGAATCGCGAAACGATCGAGGCGACCGCGGCGCGGCGAACTCGCGTTTAAATAGCCGCTCGGGCTCGCGTTTTCGAAGGCTCGGCATCAATCGACGAGTCGTATACCGTCGGCGTCGGTGAAATTCGACTGACGATCCAACGGCGCACACAATCGTCTCGGGACTATTTCTGACCCGTGTCCTATCGATCTCACTTCCTCTCTCTCGCACGCTGTTTCTCTCGCAGCTTCGCGTGAGAACGATTCGTCTACTCCCCAGCGAATGGCAATGAAATAAAACAGGGAAAAGGTGTCGTTTACGGGTTCACCTCGACATTGCGGCCTGTTTTCGCCACGAATAGATCGCGAGCCCTGAAAAATCGACTCCGAGACTTCAGAAGTAAACTCCAACGGTTCTTATCCGTCGAAGAAGTCAGCTGTTCGTTGTGTCTTTACGCGAAACAGAATTCATGCTCGCGCCAAGCATCGTTTTATCGAGTAGGTGGCCTACGGTTGTCTCGAAAGTGCTATTAATACAATCAACTTTTACGTTAGGATGCGATACGAGAAAGTGAACGAGTGCCGTGGAAAGCGCACTGTATGACATTCAACCGCATACGTCAGCCTAGAAACTATTTTCAAGCGATTCCTATTGATTCCCGGCCGTGTGAACACGTTACACTCATCGTGCTGTGGCTCGTAATACCCCTCACGCCCCCGTACAATTTAATCATTTCGATATTACTAAAATAACTCCGGTGCAGGCTGTCGGAGGCATCGACTAGATCGAATAATCAATCACGTAGCTTCGACGAAACCTACTATCGAAACGATTGGTCTCTTCGACGATGCGTAAGCGTTCTCCTTCTTCCATATCAATTGTTGTCCATCTTGCTACCGATACAAATAAACAAGCATCAAATTTGAAGAGTACCGTCATTTTTACGGCCATTTTGCAATGGCTTTTACGAATAATAATAGGCATTTCGGAATCGGTTGATAAACTAGGGACAGTTGCAGACGATTAAACGTAGATTCCTTTGAACAAACGACATCGTTGAGAAAGACAAACGGGTGCGCGTGTCAGAACTCGGTTTGCGAGTACAGAGGAATGAAAAGGAAGGCGTTTGTCGACATTGATACATTATTCCTCGTTATTTTTAGTTGCTTAAGATTCCGAAGTAACTGTGCAACTTGGTTCCTCTTATCCTAGGCTGCATGCGAGTCTATACGCTTTATGCTCTCGGCTGTTTGTATGATTCTCATTTTCATCTTTATCCATCTCACTCTCTTTTTCAATTCATTACACGAAACTACCCTCTTAACGTTCTTAGAGTGTACTGCCCCAGAGCATACAACGAACCATTTCAAGTTTGATCATCCGTCGTCATTTTCGACGATCCCTCGGACGAGAAGTCGCTCTCCATAAACATGCTGAAAGTCTAGATTTAACCTGAAGGGTTTGGCGTGACCGTAAGTTGTAGCGATCTCGGATCGATGGGGTGCATCCGGACACCCTCGCGTATAAGGGGTCTATTTCTGTCACGCTATCGATTCGTCCCTTTCTCCCTTTCTCAGCGTGGGCACGTCTCGCCTGTGCACTTGGACGTCAACGACGATGTGTGAAACGCGTTGCTCTCTTATCGGTCGATGCTGACGTAGAACCAGCTTGCACCTCTATAAACCATTCATAGACGATAACATCGAACTTACATTGTGCGAGCTTATTTTTACGTCGTGCGTATACATAGAGTGCAACCTCTCCTATTCATCCTCTCTCTCTCTCTCTCTCTCTGTCTCGACACACTCGTGATCGATTTTTTGCTTAATTTTACGCTATGTAGACCGATATTAACGCTATCCAAGCTTTTTCCTTTTACCTTGCGCAATAATTTCACCTCAACGATATCAGAAAATCGATGAGAAACGAAAAACTATCCGAATCTGAATTGCGTCCGGAGATACGCGAAAAAATTATTTCTATTCTAGTCGGAACGACAAAATGCGTTTACACGAGAATAACCTCGGGGAT